CAAACCATATATGTAATAAATATTAGTATTAAAAAAATACTGCATTTTTTTAATACTAATACATAATATTTATTAATACATGGTAATCTATACTAATATTATAAAGAGGAAAGATTTGTTTGTTTGTTTGTATTGAATGGGCTCCGAAACTACTGAACCGATTTGAAAAATTATTTCACTGTTTGGAAGCTACACTATTCCCGAGTGACATAGGCTATAATATTTTTTGCAAAAAAATTGGAATCCTTACTAAAACTCCAATAATGTAACCCAAGGTGTAAAAAAAATTACCTAAAATACTCTTTACACCGCGCGCCGTGCGAAAACTATTGATGATAGAATAAAATAATGTACTACGACTTTGTAGAACACATTATTATTTACAAAAAGTGTCGGGACAGCATATGTCTAACTATTATAGTTATGCCGCAATAAGTGTTCTTTTATTTAAAAAAAATAAAACAACGTCAAGTATCGTTGAAATTTTTGTTAAAGACCCGAGCGAAGCCGGAGTGTACCGCATGTCTATTATAAATATGAAAGTGTGTATTTTGTTTGTTCTGCTTTCATGTCGAAATGAAGAAACGGATTGCTATGATCTTTTAAAAATAATAGCTTTAGGCTTTAACACTACCTCTTATGCTGAAAAAAAAAATCTCATTCCCACGGGAAACTGTTACTAATTACAAATATACATATTATTATATTATGTACATATTTTGAATAATTTTACGTGACTCTTTAGAAGAATACAAATGTAAATTTATCTTGACCACTGACGCCTACGACCACGAATTGTAGTGTATTAATGTGTTCGAATTGCTCTTACAAACTGGTGGTAAGTCGTGGTGGTCAGCCCATAAGGATAAGTACTACCACCATGGCTATTTCTGCTGCGAAGTAACGCGTTTCGGTTTGAAGGGTGGTACAGTCGTCATACTATTGAGACTCAGACCGTTCGCGGCATAAATTTTTTATTTTATTGATAGATGAGTGGACGAGCTCACAGCCCACCTGGTGTTAAGTGGTTACTGGAGCCCATAGACATTTACGACGTAAATGCGCCACCCACCTTGAGATATAAGTTCTAAGGTCTCAAATATAGTTACAACGGCTGCCCACCCTTCAAACCGAAACGCATTACTGCTTCACGGCAGAAATAGGCAGGGTGGTGGTACCCACCCGCGCGGACTCACAAGAGGCAAATTATAATTTTGCGGGTTTCATTTTTATTACACGATGTTATTCCTTCACCGTGGAAGTCAATCGTGAACATTTGTTAAGTTTTTTTTATATTTTTTTTATTGCTTAGATGGATACGTATTTCATTAGAAAAATTGGTACCCGCCTGAGATTCGAACACCGGCGCATCGCTCGACACGAATGCATCGGACGTCTTATCCGTTAGGCCACGATGACTTAATTAACATTAATGTTATTTATTATGTCTATAATAATATAGACATTGTCAACCACTTAATAACAAATGGATCGCGAGCTCAAACACACGTCTAGGCAATGAAAAAAATAATCCATCAGCAGGCTTCTCTAGGAAACCGATAAACTAATAGAGAAAATATTACACGCAGGAAGAAACTTCGGAACATTCCGATAGCAAAGTTACGACGGGATGCGGTGTAAATAATGTATTTTGTAAGGCTTATCAGTAATATGATGTTTCTACGCGTGGGATCCACGGGACCCTAATAAAAATGGTATGGTGTATCGTTTGAAACTAGCCGTTTGGATCCAAGCTCTCGGCAAACTAAATGCGATGAGACCTAAACTTATTTCAAAATTTTTGCTTTTGATTCATAAAACTAATGTTTTAGAAGACTGCTAGCACGGGAGCACGGTTAGATTCCTTTTTTTGCAAATTTGAGTTTTGTTTTCCTTAAAAAAAACAAGTTGATTCTGCAGAAATAAACAAACATATTAATGATTTCTGTGTATTTATGTTAATGTCGATACTGCCATTGTAAATGTTCCGTTTACTATCCCAGTCTCCACCGCTGAATAGAATCATTACCATCGCTAACGTATCCCTAAAGTCACTTGCATTTCCAAATATAATTTTTACCACGATGTATCCTTGACGTAATCAAACCATTCATTCATTAGTTAACATAGCAGAAGCCACCGTACAATCCAGAATTGGAAGAGTGAGTTAGATTAAGTGCATACCAGACCCCATACGTAAACGCTACTCAAGTATGGGGTCTGGTATGCACAGAATTTAATAGGAAAGCACAATTGCTTTGCAGCTGAAGTAGACAATGTAGTCACTTTTTTTATTTCCTTGGTAGGCAAACGAGCATACGCAAAATTATGATTTGCGTAATTACTTGTGGTAGGACCTCTTGTGAGTCCGCGCGGGTAGGTACCACCGCCCCGCCCATTTCTGCCGTGAAGCAGTAATGCGTTTCGGTCTGAAGGGTAGGGCAGCCGTTGTAACTATACTGAGATCTTAGAAGTTATATCTCAAGGTGGTTGACGTATTTACGTTGTAGATGTCTATGGGCTCCAGTAACCACTTAACACCAGGTGGGCTGTTAGCTCGTTCGCCAACCAAGCAATAAATAAAAGAAATACGGCCCACCTGATGGTAAGTGGCTACCGTCACTCATGAACATCAGCAATGCCAGGGGCAGAGCCAAGCCGCTGCCTACCATTAACAACATTGAGCCCTACCACCGCTTTAAAAGACTTAAAACGAACCTCATTTAGAATTTCGGATTCTGCATCAATGAACTCAAACAATAAAAATAACATTATTGTTACATTTGAATCTCATTCCTCGAGATTGTTTGACAAGTTTATTGGTTTTCAATATCTCAAAGCTTGGGAAGGTTAAGATTACTACGAAAGACACAATTGAACTATTGATTGGCTTTCGATGATAAGAATGAACAAGTCAAGTAGATGATTTTCTGGGTGATGGAGAAAACTCTCACAGTCAACACTCTCAACACTAATATTTCATTTAAGAATTATTCTATTGATCACTTTTGTGTTTAGAAAATAGTTTTATGCTGGCCTGATTGGGAATACCCTAAGTCAGAAAATTTAATTTGTGAAAATCAATTATTTCAGTCTTTTTTATACCTGGGAGGGAGATGTAGCTCTTTTTTCCTACCTAATAGTCGGTAGCCTAAGGAGCTATGGTAGGTGAGCTCACGGGCTCAACCTGAGAGAACTGCTAACACTAACCCTAGCTAAAATATAAAAACAGAGTCACCTGGCAGTGACCCATGATCGTAGACCGGAGTGTATTTCAACGTTTTACGAAGCATCCATTACAGGTAATGGATGGAAAAAATAATTCACAGTATTATCGAAAGGCAGTAATGAAATTAACGCTAACGGTAGGACGTATCTTTAGCATAAAATATATGAGATGATATCGCCATCCTGCTCAATCAAAAAATAGCAGCAATTAAAAGCAAGCACTGGTGGTAGGACCTCATGTGAGTCCGCACGCCTATTTCTGCCGTGAAACAATAATGCGTTTCGGCTTGAAGGGTGGGGCAGCCGTTGTAACTATACTGAGACCTTAGAACTTATATCTCAAGGTGAGTGACGCATTTGCGTTGTAAATGTCTATGGGCTCCAGTAACCACTTAACATCAGGTGGACTGTGCTCGTCCACCCATCTAAGCAATAAAAAAAAAGTAGCCTCGAGGCTCTAACTACTAAAACTTCGAGGACTAAAGGCTCGACTGAATTGAACTCAATTGAATCTTCAATATCTCAATGCGTGTTAGCGTTCTTGCTGCTATCTCTGTGGACTCCAGTAACTGCTATACATCAGGTAAGCCGTAAACTGGTAGATCCTTAAACGCATAAAAAAAATCATAACAATATATGTAAACAGTTTGTTCCTAGTAACTTACTCAAGGGCCACTCATGAAAGAAACCAATTACCCGCGTAATTTGTTTGGTTTTGTTCTCTAACGAAGCTAATGCAAAAACAATCGTTATTCTAATATCGCTTAGGTCGAGTCTTCCGTAAATTTTAGTTCCTTTAATACGGAACCATTATATTATTACGTGTGGTTAACAATAGGCGTGTTTGTAGGGTGATTATTTTCTTTAATTAAAAACACGTTGTTATTACATAGATGTGGTAGCATTTCACGCCAGTTTTTCCTGCAGTATACATCGAGGATGCACGTGAACAGTCCATGAAAATTCTGGACACTCATTATAATCATCATCATCAGCCTATAGCTGTCCACTGCTATTGCATAGGCCTCTCTAATTGCAAGCACTGACCACGACCCTCGACTTCTCTCATCCAGCTCTTGCCAGCCACCCTACATAGATCGTGGCTACACCGAATCTGAGACCACCCTCCCACTCTTCACTACGGTGTCTACTCAAGAACACGTATACTCCAGCGGCTATCGGTTCTCCGGCTAATATGGTCAGCCCATTGCCACTTACGAATCCGCTCTGCTACAGTTGGACTGTCGGACGACCATGAGATGTGGAAGCCCTGGTTTCCAGTACAGCTAGTTGACAAAACGTAATGAATTGACAATACCACGCCATCTCACTTCTTCGCTTGTTTCAGATTCGGCTCATGGGATTCGCTTGAGCTACGTGAGGATTTGAAATTTTGTTCGTGCTACCCACAATACCACTCCACCTCATTGCCGAAGGATATTACTGGACGATAATCCAGTTAACGTCCAGTAATATCCTTCTGATAAAGAAAAGTGGACGTAGCCATAAAAGGCACTCGAAGAGTGAGGCCGTTTTTGCTATACTGAAAGTCCTTTAAGCTTGCGTTTTCTTTATTAAAGTCAAAACTCCATCAAGCGTGCATGCCTGATCATTTGATAAAATATGCTAAATGGTCTGGCGATACCAAGAACGTGCTCGCTGTCTGCAATAATACACTTTGATCTTGCCACGTTTTAAGTGAGTTATTTCTTAACGATCTAGAACTATTGAACTACTAAGGGAAATTGCTGTAATCAAAAAGTAGTTCTTACCGTTCTATTCCCCAAATCGTGAACTCTGCAGTTCAGTTGTGCGGTTTTCCCTACAAGCGCTGTCACGTTTTTCGAATGGGCGACGTCGAATCTAGGACCTCGTGGTGTCAGACCAAGGTCCACGTCTGTGTATTCCAGCTCAGGTACCCCATTCGTGCCTAAGCCGTTATCCGTGCAACCTGAGGGAGGAAACAAGACATTCAGTGAATTTATGAGTTTGAAAAAAACCTTGTTAGGTTTTACGCAATTTTCAGATAAAGGATAAAACTAGTTTGGGAGAAATTGGACAAGAAACTAACGCAACGAATGAACAAATTGTAGATCTTTTTAAAGTTCCGCATTCACTGAATTCGTTATTATCCACCGGTTGGTGTCATCACTATCTTATCATTCAAAAAGCAGGGTTACCAATGCACGAAGGCTAAGCATAAACTGCACCACCAGACAAAAATGAACCATTACTTAAAAATTAACAACGGAATTAAATTGTAATTCTCAGAAGCGTGATGCATAGGTCGTGACCGGGCCGGTTGCGGTCGAGCAAACCTTTGTGAGTTAACTAAGTGGATAGTTAATGATTCGAGACTACCGGTTAACCGTTCTGGTGGGTTTAATTACCAACTATTAGGGTACGGAAATTCTGAATCTGAAGTCTGATAAATAAATAAGTGGAGCTTTCGAAAACTAATCCCTAAGCTATTGTAAATAAGTGTTGGAGTTTAAGGTGTCGGAATTTTTGAGTTTGAAACATATTTTATTCTGCTTTATCCATCTCTTTTAAGGTAACTTTGTTAGCATCTCGTCATCAATGTATCAATAGAGCAGAACTCACTTTACTGCCGGAATTATGCTAAGAAAGAAATGCTTTTGCATGGTTGGTGTTGCAAAGATTTTCTCATTTTAAATACGCGTCACTTACCTAAGCAAAATTTCATGTTATATTGCAAGAGAAAATCACGTGTAGTCTCAGGAAATGCTCTGTAGATAAATGTAGTGAGTGGATCTACGCAGAAAATATGAACTCTATTTCAATGTAAGATCTGAAACTACCCCAGTACTGTCCAACGTGTGTACATAATGCAGAGAAAATTCTGTTGAATCTTTTGTGAATTTAACGGAAAAACTCTTTTATTGTTGATCTATAGAATAACTGATGACCCACGCCCAATGAGTTTCTCGCCGATTCTTCTCAATAGGTCGCGTTTCCAATCCGGTGGTAGATTCTGCGAAGGGCTGCTCTTCCTAGGACCAGTGTTAGCAACACCTCCGGTTTGAGCCCCCAGAGCTCACCTAAACGCTAGGCTAAAGCTGAAATAGCCTCTCAAGGCTATCAGCATAGATATCGGAACCCTATTAATTACTGGTTATTGATTACTGGATGCTGAAGCCAATAAACATCACAACATGGTTACCTTCCACCCGTGGTGAGATCTGAAGTCTATCTCTATTGGATAGTGATTAACCAACCAAATTATATTTTTGGCGGGTTTGAATTTTATTACACGGTGATATTTCTTCACCGTGGAAGCTGTTCGTGAAGATGAGTGACATTTTTATAAGAAATTTGTACTGCCTGTCGCATTGTTTGATACACCATACCATCTTACGCTTTAGGGCACGACTACTTTTAACCCATTAATTTTGTAGTACCTATTTGTCTTTATTTAACGATTATTATTTTTTGATGAGAGACGCGAGCATTCAATCCACTTCATAATGTAGTCATAGTGGCTAACAGTGCCAGGGATACAACCATTGCCTATTTTGTAGTGGAAATCATTTGTGGGAAATTCATATAGACATGTTTGTAAAATGATTATTTTGAAATAAGCTACTTGTCCCAGAATCAACCTCAAAACAATGTTGACTACAAAAGAGCTAGAGTTTTTTTTGCTTAAATGGGTGTAAGAGCTCACAGTCCACCTTGTTTTAAGGTCTCACTTCCTGCCCCTCCACTGCCTCGCCTTTTGAACCAAAACGCATTAATTACTGCTTCACGGCAGAAATAGGCAGGGTCGTTGTACCTACCCGTGCGGACTCACAAGACGTCCTACCACTAGTAACCAATCAGCAATGAACTAGATACTTCGTTTCAAGATATTGTAACGTGGAACAACTAGATCTACAATTAAATAAAAAAGTACATTACATCTCCAAAATGTATTCTACATTCGAAAGATAAAGGGAAATTCAAACTTCATTAATTACTTATGATATTCAAATTTTCACGTTTCTCAGTTCTCAGATTTACGATAACTACGTGAGCAAACTCAGTCGGAGCCGGTGAAATTACCGTATATTTATTTGCGAAAGAGGACGAGAAACTCTTTGGATCTCTGATATTATTGTTAATGCGTGAGGCAATTTTTTTTACTGGAATTTTCAGGGGCTTTCGTGATTCGTAGATAATTTTTTTACTAGCTTTAAAGCTTCATCACGATTTCAATCTTTTAATCTCATTATCTATGACAACTAAATAGTAGTAAATGGATTGAAGAATTGAAAGACAAAGTAAAAAATACCCAAAATAGAACAGAAATACTGAAAATAGCCACAGAATTTTACAAGGAGCTATATAGCGCACCGAATCAATGTACATATGAACTACCGGGCACAAATCAAGTAGAGACGAGAGCAGTCATAGACGAATCCGAAGTGTTATATTTTTAGTGATTAAAGGGATTAAATCACTAAAAATAGAGAAAAGTCCAGGCCCCGACAGGATCACCAACGAAACCATAAAGCTCGGATGCGCGTATCTAGCAAAACCACTAACTCGACTATTTAATCAGATACTGAACAGCTCGTATACACCTCGTCAATGGTCAGAGTCTGATATCATCTTACTGTACAAAAAAGGAGACCCTAATAATATAAGTAATTACAGACCGATAAGCTTACTACCTTCACTATATAAACTGTTCTCCTCAATAATAGAGAAAAAAATAAAAGAAAGCACAGAGAAATACCAACCCATCGAACAGGCAGGCTTCAGAAGAGGCTNTAAATCTAGGTCAGCATCGTTTAATAAATATTTGAACATTTACTCTAATGTTGTTGTACTCGGGAGATTGTTTTGGGAAAAGTGGTTTGAGCTTATAAAGAAAAGTTAATGCCAAGTACCTAATAGCCTTTTTCTCCTGGCAGCCTAAGGGGATATTCCAGCTACGCTCGGATAGGTAGCTGAGCTCACGGGTTCAACCGGAGAGAATTTGCTAACACTAACCCAACAAGAGCAGTGTTTCGCGGAATTGACCGCAATCGCGATCTGGCGAGATACTCAGTGAATTGTGTGTGTGGATTAAGTTGCACGATAAACTACCCTTCGCATTCTATGGGCTCGACGAGGACGGTGACCAGGCTATCCAGTGAGTAGGCCTAGTTACCACTCAAAATTACTTATAATAATAACTAGCAGCGACTTCAATGTCTTTCTGCCACCGGCGGAATTCAATCTTCAGATCTTTGTTACTAGTTACATAGAACTCATCGAAAACTAACCACGTTTGTAACTAAATTCTCATCCAAGCCAAATCCAAGTGATCCAAGTTTCAGTTTTATAGTAAAGCAACTTGCCCCACCATACAAACTAGAAAGCAATACTTATTCTCGCCAAAAATCGGGACCTATCTGTGTGAGCTCAAAAGACAGTAAGTTTTTCTTTGTTTCCACACTTGGTTTTATTTTTATATGTAATGTAGATGTAACAAACAGAAAATGCAACACTTTAAACTAAGTTACTATAACATTTTTTTTTATTTTTTTTATTGCTTAGATGGGTGGACGAGCTCACAGCCCACCTGGTGTTAAGTGGTTACTGGAGCCCATAGACATCTACAAGGTAAATGCGCCACCCACCTTGAGATATAAGTTCTAAGGTCTCAAGTATAGTTACAACGGCTGCCCAACCTTCAAACCGAAACGCATTACTGCTTCACGACAGAAATGGGCAGGGTGGTGGTACTCACCCGCGCGGACTCACAAGAGGTCCTACCACCAGTAATTACGCAAATTATAATTTTGCGGGTTTCATTTTTATTACACGATGTTATTCCTTCACCGTAGAAATCAATCGTGAGCATTTGTTGAGTACGTATTTCATTAGAAAAATTGGTACCCGCCTGAGATTCGAACACCGGCGCGTCGCTCAACACGAATGCACCGAATGTCTTATCCCATTAGGCCAGGACGACTTCACGTTACTGAGTTAGTAATTTAAATAATTATTTACTAATATTGTAACTAACTTATAACGTAAAAAACAATGCTAGTGAAAAAATTTTCGTTCTGAAGGATTATTGAAAAAAACATTTTCCATTCACAACACAAAAAAATACTCATCCCGTTATAAATACCGAAAAATAATTTCTTCCTTTCAAGATTTTGTTCCGTAAATTACCAATTTAACAGAGAATACCTTGTTGAAGCGAAATATATTAGGAAAATATATCAATGATGCCACAATGGCCGTAGCCGGTGCTTTGTCAACGAAATTCTCTGCTTCGATATTAGATTGTTGTTTTACGAGATATATTTCGTGAATAAGTTTTAATGGGACACTTTCTGTGCTGGCTCATAATTTTTAAGGGCGTCTCCTGGCGTTTTCTAGATTCATATTGACTGTGTTGTTTTCTAAAATAGCACCAACCCTCTTTCCGGGAGTGTCTATAAAAGTTGACTAAGAGATTCAACAGAGAATAAGTTTAATGCGATCGCTAACCGGCATTTTCTGGTGCTAGGGCATATTCAATATTTGAACTGTGGAATGATCTAGTAGGATCTAGACCTCATGTTTTAAGGTGGGTTTCACATTTAATGCTTTTCTTATGACTTTGATTGGTGTACGACGAATAGCTAAGCGATGATAAGCTAGTTTTCCTATCTCATCATCATCGTCACTTTAAGCCTTATAGCCCTGGGTGAGCCTTAAACTGATCCAGTAAGTCTCGCCAGACTCCTCTATTCATGAATTTCTCTTTCCAGTTTTTGACAGCGATTCCTTTGAAATCCTGGTCTACGCCATCTAACCTGAGTTTGGGCCTCTCATTCTGGTCTTTATTTTTTTATTTTTTTTATTGCCCTTTTAGGCAGACGAGCATACTGATGGTGAGTGGTTACCGTCGCCCATGGACTTCAGCAATGCTAGGGGCAGAGCCAAGCCGCTGCCTACCGTTAAGTTCTCTCCGCAAGCCTCATTTGAAGAGGGATATGTCATAGCGCTCGAGAAACACCGTGAAGGGGAGCTCATTCAAAAGCCGGAAGGTACGTGACAAAAAAGAACTCTGGAAACGTCTCTCCTATTCTAACTATAAATAAATAAATAATATAAATATTTAACAACAATCACGCCACGTTAACTGGTCCCGTGATAAGTTCGTAAAGAACTTGTGTTACAGGTACCAGATAACGGAAATAAATGTAAGATTCTTATTATACACATACATATATTTAATATACATCCATAACCCTGGAAAAGACATTTATATTTTTATCATACAAATATCTTCCCTTGGCGGGATTCGAACCCGCGACCCCCTTATGTAGTGACCATGTCACTTACCGCTACACCAGACGGCCGTTTAATAAAACTATATGTATGTCCTGTCCATGACATTCTCGTATTCCACAAGAACTTAAAATATAAATATCCTAGCTCCAACGGTCGAAACACCAAAGCCAATTGCGTCTATATAATTCAATCCACGAGTAATGTCCATTTTTTTTTTGCTTTGCCAAAAAGCGTTACGTTTTCGTGTTTCCGCTCCAAAACTTTGTTATTGTTTTACGTGACATGAAAGAGTAACCATTATTTTGCACCATTCCGCAGTGTATTCAGACTGAACCGATCCCCGCAGAGGACAACGTGTAATAAACATGTTGTTTTTCAAACGAACTACATGTTTGAGGGATCGACTTTTAAGTAATGTTTGTTATAATCCAAAAATTTTGTGGAGTGGTAAATTTGAAGCTATTGAAACGGTTGCTTTTACTGCAAATAATAATAAATAAATAACTGGGAAACAAATCAAGCTCGGTCAACCGGGCGCAATTTAGAATTCCCTGTGTTATGAGTCCCGGTGACTGACATACATACTTATATGCGTTTAAGTATACTAGAGGTCCCGCAGTAGTCGAAATTCGACTATAATTAATTGGAATTGTAAGTTTGTACACTATTATGATTGTATTTTATACTTCTGTGCGGAGTTATGTGTGGGTCAGTCTCAAAGGAAAATCATATCACTCATAATTATTTATTGTATACGTGTCCGAGTGCCGTGCCGGACTCCGATGGACTGCCTCGACGTTGACATGAGCCGGCACACCACTCCCCCCTTATTAAAAAAACATTTGTACTGTTATATAACCTTAAAAGAAAATTATACAAAAAATGAAAAAAAAATATAAAAATTAACATAACAGTAAACATACCAATAAAACAAAAACACAGACACCTATTAAAATTAAATCTAAAAATGGTTTGATTTGCTGCCGAAATGTCCACGAAACTTAAAAGGTAAAAATGCGTTTGCTCCACTCTGGGCAACGACGATCTCCTCTTTTGATATAGTTTTACCCATTTTACTAGTACGAGTATAAAAATGTTATTGTTAAAATGAAAAATGACTTGTAAATGATTTAGTTATTACTACTATACATGATTTTATATATTGAAACGTACGATTTATTAACCTAAATACAAAAAATATTGCTACATTTAATAACAAAATTATAATAATATGCTTTAATATCAAAATTAAATATGAAGTATGTCGTGTGTTTCGCCTACTCATTGAAACGTACGGGCTTTTTACTAATACGGCCGGAACGCGTAACATAAGCGAGCGGTTTATTATCGCTTTCCGCTGCTTTGGTGACTTGCTGGGAAAGTTTATTTTTATTATCTTTAATTGCTATATTATCGTTATCTACACTACTTTTATTGTTATCAGTCCAGATTTCGGAAGAAAATGCTGGTTTTAACCTATCTACAGATATTTTAATTACGCGATTCGGAAGTTGTACTGTATATATTTTATTATTTCTTTCTAACACTTTATAAGGGCCGTCGTAGGGTGGTTGCAATGGCTTTTTAACGGAATCATTGCGTATATAAACATGACTACAGTTACTTAACTCGCGATAAACAAATAATGTGCGACTATCCTTATGTGCTATTGGCTTAGGTTTCAACTTACTGATCAAAGTCCGAAGATTTCTAACATATTGACAATAATTAGATATGTGTTTGCTATTTTCATAAAAATCGCCAGGTAGCCTTAAGGTCTGTCCATACGTTATTTCGGCGGCACTTACACTAGTATCGGTGCGCGGTGCTACTCGAAGTCCTAACAATACGATGGGTAATTCTTCGACCCAAGTCTTCGTGTCTAATCTAGCCATCAGAGCGGCTTTCAAAGATCTATGCCATCTCTCTACCATACCATTACTTTGCGGATGGTAAGCAGTAGTACGTTTTTTATCTATCCCTAAACACTTCATGAGTTCCTGAAAAATGCTACTTTCAAATTGTCTGCCCTGGTCCGTAATAAGTTGAACCGGGCAGCCAAAACGGGGTACCCATTCATTAAAAATAACCTTTGATACAGTTTCTGCGCTAATATCCTTAACGGGATAAGCTTCAGGCCAGCCTGTAGCTCGATCTACTATCGTAACGAGATATCTATAGTCTTGCGTAGAAATCGGCAATGGCCCAACAATATCAACGTGAATGTGTGTAAAACGATCTGCTAAAGGAAATTGGCCATATTCTGACTTAACATGTCTATGAATTTTTGCACGTTGACACTCATTACAAGATCTGGCCCATCTGCTTATATCCCTATTCATATCATTCCAGAAAAATCTTTGTTTCATTAATTTACCTGTAGCGCGGATACCTGGGTGGCTTGCATTGTGAACAGATTCAAAAGCTATTTTTCTAAACTGTTCGGGTAAGTATGGCCTAGGCCTATTAGTACTATTTTCGCAAACGATTGGTGCGTCATATTCTGGTAATATTATTTCTAATAAATTCCATTTACCTACTTGATTACGTAAGGTGGTTAGTTGCTCGTCGCTTCGTTGTGCTCGAGCTATGTCAGCGTAATTCAACGCATTTGGTATGGATATAGACTCTATACGCGATAACGCGTCTGCCACAACATTGTTATTGCCTTGGATATGCCTGATTTCCGTAGAAAACTCGCTTATAAAAAGTAATTGTCTAACTCTACGTTTAATTAATTAATTAAATTAATTAAATTAAATTAATTAATTATTATTATTAATCTCTAATTCGCTGTCACTACCTAATTTCGAAAAAGCGAAAGTTAACGGTTTGTGATCAGTATGAATAATTAGGTTCTGTCCCTCTATCATATTCCGAAAGTATTTAATAGCAAGATAAATAGCCAATAATTCCCTATCGTAGGTACTATATTTCTCTTGTGCGGGTGTCATCTTCTTAGAAAAATATCCTAACGGCTTCCATACACCGCCGTCGTGCTGTTGTAAAACAGCGCCCACACATTTATTTGATGCATCTGTCATAAGTGCAAGTGGGGTGTCGGGTTTCGGGTACGATAACCCAGGTGCACTTTGAAGACTTAATTGACATTGTATAAATGCCTCGTTTGATTTTTCGGTCCAATTTATCTTAGATTTATCCTTCTTTTTAGAGTTTTTTAAGAACTCGTTTAATTCGGCCTGGTATTCTACAGCATGTGGTAGGTGTAACCGATAAAAGTTGACCATTCCCAGAAATCTTCGTAATCGATCGACCGTTTCCGGTTTGGGAAATGCAATGATAGCGTTTACTTTCTCTTTAAGAGGCTTAATACCCTCGGTGGAAACTTCATACCCGAGAAAATCAATTTTGGACTGACCAAACGAGCATTTATTTAAATTAATTGTAATGCCAAATTTGTTAAATATTTCAAAAACCTCTTCCAAGTGTTGTCTATGCTGTACTAAATTGTCACTTGCAATAACTACGTCATCAATAAAGGTGTATAAATAATCTAAACCTTCTAAAACAGTGTGGTTCATAAACCGTTGAAAAGACTAAGCAGCATTGCGTAATCCAAAACTCATGCGTGGAAATTCGAAAAGACCGAAAGGTGTAATTATAGCGGTTTTCTCTACATCCTCTGGAGCGACCATTATAAAATGATACGCTCTATTGATGTCTATTCGGGAAAAAACTTTTTTATTAGCTAAAATGTAAGTAAAATCGTACAATCTAGGTATCGGGTATCTATCCGGCTTAGTAATTGCGTTGAGCGCCCTATAATCGCCACAAGGACGTATATTGCCATCTTTTTTTGCAACAACATGTAATGGGCTTGCCCACGCGCTTTTCGACGGTCTGCATATCCCCAACTGTTGCATAAGTCTTATCTCTTCTTTAACCTTGGCATAACGATGTGGTGGCAATGGTCTCGCCCGAGCATGTACGGGAGGTCCGAAAGTCTCGATATGATGGTAAACCAAATGTTTCGGTGGCTCTTTAAAAGAAACCGGCTTGGTGATATCCGGATATTTCGATAGCAAATCATAAAACGGGTGGCTTATATCTATAGTTTTAACACTATGTATATGATGTTTATTTACAAATAAGGATGAAACGTTAAGATTAGTTATTTGATCGGTTAGTTTACGAGAACTTAAATCGACTAATAAATGGTAATTTTTCAAAAAATCAGCTCCTAAAATAGGCTGACTTACATCTGCAATAACAAATGTCCAGTGAAAAGATCTTCTTAAACCTAAATCTAATTCCAAATTTTTAGTACCATAAGTTTTAATGACGGTGCCATTTGCTGCATACAATGTATACTTTGAACTATTATCAGAAAAAGCTTTTTTTTTCGTAACTGTACGTGGTAAAACAGAAATATTGGCACCAGTGTCTATTAAAAAATTTAAATTACTATTTCTATCCCTTATACTAAGGCGGTAGTTACGTGCTCCGATGCAGCTGTCCCCCGCCGCAGACTGCATGGCATTTAGTTTCCCGACTGGTTCTGCTTCTTCTCCCACGCACACGGCGGCACGCATTTATGCGCCTGCTCCTTGAATCTGTAGTGATAGAAGCACATCCAATCGTCACGAGCTGCTGAGCGATGGGGTGTCGTATTACGGCGACCACGGGAACTCGATCGCGCTCTGTTTGCATAGCGCCCACGGAATCCGTATCTGTACCGTTCTCTGCGTTGGCCATTCCTCTGCGACTGGATCTCATCGAGGCGAATATTAATTCTGGCTATTTGCGATATTAAGGTAGCTGTATCTGCCGTATTGACCTCGCCTATGGAGATTGGCCTGGTTGTCTCCATTACCTTGTCGGCTACGGAAGCCAGGGTATTGATATCCTTGCTATCCGTCACTACTAATACTGCACGGACGGAGGTTGGTAGGTGGTTCTGCCACAAAAGGAGTAAGGTTTCGTCGCTGATTTTATCGCGGGCTAAATCTTTCATTCGACGAAGCAGCTGCGAAGGTTTCTGATCGCCCAGTTCCATTTCCCCTATGAGCTTCTGCAACTGGCGGCTTTCCGATTCCTCGTATATTGCTAAAAGTCTGGCCTTGAGTGTGTCATATTTTTTTTCTTTCGGCGGCTTTATTAATATATCTGTCACTTGACTGACCACGTTTTTACCCAGTTTGGCAATGACGAGATGGTACTTGGCGTCGTCCGATAATTTTTGATTAAAAAGAACTGACTCTGCATGTATGAACCACGTCCTGGGTTGATCTTCCCAGAACTCGGCTATTCTCGATGTAACCGTAATCTGCTCCACTTCACTTTTATTAATGTCCGATTCGTATGACATTTTTTTTGTATTATATTATTATTATTATTTTTACTGTTTGTAACTATTTAATTTATCGACACGGCACGGGGTCACCACTGTGCGGAGTCATGTGTGGGTCAGTCTCAAAGGAAAATCATATCACTCATAATTATTTATTGTATACGTGTCCGAGTGCCGTGCCGGACTCCGATGGACTGCCTCGACGTTGACATGAGCCGGCACAATGCCAATGAAATTATCAACAAAACCAAATTAAAACAGTATCATTTTCTTTGTCTAAAATATCCCGATGTCTCTCTGCTTCATTGACTACGCCAAGGCTTTTGACTGCATCAACTGGAAGAAAATGTTCGACGTGATGCAAGAGATGGGAATACCGGACCACCTCGTCTCTCTTGTTCAGACTATATATGGATGGAATTACGAGAGTCAGAATGAACAATGAGTTTTCCCATCCATTTAAGCCCGAATGTGGAGTCAGACAGGGGTGTATTCTCTCCCCACAACTCTTCAACCTCATCGGTGAACACATTATGAGGCTCGTTCTGGAGAACTGGGAGGGGGGTATTCGTGTAGGAGGTCACCGAATTAATAATCTTCGTTTCGCTGATGATACCACTATAATCGGTACCTCGGAGCGAGAGCTGCATGAGCTTCTGAGGAGAGTGGAAGTCGTTAGCAAAGATTACGGACTTCGCATCAACCGATCCAAAACGAAATTGATGTTTGTCGATAGAGCTGGCACAATGACACGCACTCACGAACTGCGTGACCTGGACGTGGTGCAGGAATTTGTGTACTTGGGGTCATTAATATCCAGTGACGGTGATTGTGACAGGGAGGTGGTCAGGAGGGCCCAGATGTCAAAATCAGCCGTGAAGCGATTGGAGAAGATTTGGAGAAATCGCAGCATAAACAAAAAAACTAAGATAAAGCTCATGAGAACCCTTATCTTCTCCATATTCTTGTACGCTTCTGAGACGTGGACCCTCAAGGGCCGTACCCGATCGAGAATTGACGCATTTGAAATGTGGTGTTGGCGCAAAATGTTGGGCGTATCATGGACGGAGCGCCGAACAAATGTGTCAATTCTCGAGGAGCTAAACGTCAAGACCCGTCTATCTACAATCTGCATGCAGCGTCTCCTCAAGTACTTCGGACACGTGGCCCGACAAAATCCCGAGAACTTGGAAAAATTAATAGTTGTAGGTCACGTGGAAGGAAAGAGAAGTCGAGGAAGATTGCCAACCAGGTGGACGGACATTATCAAGGAGGCCACAAACACCAGCGTCCCGGGCGCCATTAAGCAGGCCGAATGCAGGCAGCATTGGAGGAAGCTGGTGCAAAAACTGGACCAAGGTGGTCACGACCCTCAGTAATGAGGAAACGACAGAGAAGAAGAAAATATAAATATGTCAATAGATTTGTGACAAATAAAACTTGTGGTGTACAGGTGTACAATTGTATAATATGCTTAATGATAAGAAGTTGAATTTTACTAACTGATTTAATCTCGTTTTACGAAGTGATTGATTGTAAAATATAAAAACCCTAACTGTTAAATGTTAAACATTATGGTCTTGAGGGTTGAACTTAACTTTGTGAAAACAGATTGTTTTACAACTATTCTTTATGCACATGTGCAATTTTAAGTGAACACCCTATGTGTATTACTTGCTAAGGTGTTCCGTCATACAACAAACAATGACATTGGTGACAAGTCAGGAGTAACTGAAAATGTCATTGTATGTACTGACTTAGGTGGCGTTTACTCATGTTCAATTTTATAAGTACAAATTAAATTTATATATTTTATTTATAGGGCCATTAAACAAGGAGGGGTCTACAACAGGAGTCCCGGACGCGGCGGACAGCACCGCGGCGGCGCTGGGGCTGGCAGCACAGTTACTGTGCATGTTGGCCTGGATGTTACACATTCGCTTACCACATTCTTTATCATTGTCGTGAGTACATTCTTTAATAAATTAATTTCCATTGTGGTTTTTTTAAACCCCAATCTACGTTGTTAATCGTTGTATCCCGTTGTTAAGCTGCTGCTCACTTTAAAATGTCTGGCTTACATCGGCTTACATCTGGTACACTGAAGTTCCACAGACAGAGAACCCACTGATTTTCAAATCTCGTCTTCTCAATGAGTGGTGATCCCAATCCCAAGATTAAATGAAGTACTGGTCTTGCTAGGGCAAATATTAGGCTGAGCTCCGTGAGCTCGCCTTCCAACTAAAGCTAGAACCAATATTGGTTAGTCCCTTGAGGCCACTAGCAGATTGATAGAAAAATATCACAACGACTATCTTATCCTTCAAAACGGAATGCCTTGCGATAGGATGGTGTTAGTGAAATCATTTAAGTTATTTTATTTAAGTAAATATTATGTGATTATAAAAAAATGTCCACTGATAGGAACTAGGTCATCGGAGGAGCATTGTTGCACTGTTATTAATAATATAATTAAATGAATTGAATTAAATTAACCATGTACAATAATGACGATTTCCTGTGTTTTCTATTGACATTGAATTTGACTGTCTCGTTGGGCGACGTCCCAGGGAGTACATGACGTCACGCGTGGAGTCGGCGGAGGCGTGCGTGAGCGCGCGGCGCGTGTGTGCGTGCGCGGGGGCGGTGTGTGCGGGAGCGGGGGTGCGCGCGGGGGCGGGGCAGGGGGGCGCGCTGCACTCGCTGCACGCTCTGCACGCACTGGCGCTCGCCGCCGCCGTGGACGACCCGCTGCTGGCCAGGTAATGGAGCCGTAACGAATTAAGACGAACTAGACTCCTGCTTGCGTGCCGCGCCCGGCCCAGAGACACCATGATTTTCATAAGCCATATCTATGATAGTATCTTTCTGTTCGGGGCTTATTAAAATTTCTCCCTTAAGAATCGAATTCTTTCAAAGGTCCCCAATACTTAAATTAATTGTTAACTAGACGCATATTAAAAATGACCGGTAAAAGCGTTAGCGCCTTCTAAACGCAACTTTTTTAAATTACGTAACTTTTCATATCGTTGTACCTGATAATAGCTGGCAGTCAAACAGTTTGTAGACTTCTGTAATTAAAGTTACCTTATTAGTAAATGGATGAACCATTGCTTTTAGTTATCGTATTTTAGTTCTTACGAACTTCCGTCGCTAGACCGGTGAGCGCTACGCGTGATTCCGATGTCAGGGAAACCAATCTTCCTCGCGATGTTTTCTTATAGTATAACTAATATATCACCCCTTCGTGCGGTGTATAATCAATGGCAATTGAACTTAAAGAGTAAACTCTTGACACGAACCTTCATACAAGATGTAGGAAGACTTCTAGTCTGGTGCTTGTCCGCGCGCTAACTTGTACGAAAACAAAATTAATTTCCTACGCGCTTGTCTCTTTAATGAGTTCGCATGTCGTGACCTCCTATCCACTTAGGAACCCTACACACTTACCTGTATTTTTATGTCTAATGTTTTGACTTATTTTATTTTTTTATTACTTAGATGGGTGGAAGAGCTCACGGCCCACCTGGTGTTAAGTGGTTACTGGAACCTATAGACATCTACAACGTAAATACCGCCAACCACTTTGAGACATGAGTCGTAAGGTTTCAGTTTTAACAGTACAACGGTTGCCCCGCCCTTCAAACCGAAACGCATTACTGCTTCACGGCAGAAATAGGCAGGTCGGTGGTATCTGTGCGGACTCACAAGAAGTCCCACCACCAGTAATTACGCAATTATAATTTTGCGGGTTTGATTTCTATTTCACGGTGTCATTCCTTCAAAGTGGAACTCAATCGTGAACATTTCTTAAGTAAATATTTCATTGGAAAAATTGGTACCTGCCGGCGGGATCCGTACACAAGTGCATCGCCACATATTAAAGCACCGGGCGATTTAACCTTTAGACCACGACGACTTAAAAAGTAGGTAAATCACGTAAATAAATAATAGTGAACCGTTCCAGGCTGGACACGGAGGAGGCGTTTGCGAGCGCCGGAGCGTGCGCGTGCGCGGGCGCCAGTGCGGGCAGCGAGCGCGACGACGCCGAGCCCGAGCACCTGCACTGGCCCGACAACATGGCGGTGAGTGCCACCAGCCCCGCAGCCGCTCGCCCGAGCGCGCAGCGCGGCCACTGTACCGCCCCGCGCGTGTTGCAGGCGCCGGCGCCGCGCGCGGGCCCGACGGCGCTCGTCACGTCGGCGGCCGCCTCGCTCGCCTCCATGTGGCGCGGGTGGACGAACTGACGCGCCGGCACATCGCGGGCACAACGCCGGAATACTTTACACCAAATAGTTTTATAATGAGACATATTAGCAACAAACAATTCCTATTTTTCGATAGTGATATTCAATTAAGCAGCCATTTGTAAAAAAATATATTTTTGTCTGGATCGGCCATTCTAATGTTGCGTAATCCAAGTACTTGGAAATTTAAAAACGAGCGAACATTGCGCATTATGTTTTAATTTTTTTAAATGATGTACAATTTCAATTATGCACTAAAGTACATAAATAGATTATATTACTTTCATCGAACTGTTTTCAAACGATTTTATTACCAATAAAATTTATATTCAATTACAACTTTAACTGTGATTTAGTTTCGTTTCATAGTTTAGTATCGATATTCCTACGATAATTAATACTCATAAACGAACACATGTTGCTTGCGCACGACTGTACTTGACAGTACGGTCAAGTGGACAAGTGTCAGTCGCTACACGAGCGCGCGACGTGACCGCCGCCCCGCCCCACCACGCCCCGCCACACCAGGCTGCTGCGCCTTACGGTCATGCTATAGTTGCTTCATGTGTTACTGAGCTTTACAATCCTGTATAGACGGAGGCCTCCAAAAGTGTTATTTCTTCTCTATTTTGTATTACGAGCATTGTCAGTCCTATTAAGTTCTTGTAGTCAGATGTACCCGCCCACTGGCCCCGGGGTCTGCGACAACAGTGTGGGCGGGCCCGGCGAGTATTCATATGTTACAAATTTATTTTGACAATGGGGCAAGACAATTTTTTGTTTTCCCATTTAAAGGCTTAAGACATTTAAAGGTTTGCATTTCAATACCTATAAAAATAATAACTATTATTTATTATATTTTTTATATTTTGCATTAGCAGATATTGCAGGTATATAGTCCAATAATGCTTATAGCGCTGCCTAAAACTAAAAGGTTTCATTCTAACTAATTGGCTCGGCGCGTCTTCACTGGGGACTCTCCGATGTATGACCGTGCGACCACGAGGCCCACTCCACGCGTATATAACAAACCATTTCCCTTCACTGTTCTTGCTAAAAGGTTTCCGAAATAATATTGTTCCCGCGATAAATTCAATATATGTATATAGAGCAGACTAGGGGGCGCGGTTGTGCGGCACTAGACCGCAAATATCATTATCACAATAATTACTTAAGTACTGTATTTAGTTTTGCACGTAAACTGTTGTATTAGTGTGTATATTTCTTCGATTTTGTGACATACATTTTTATAGCAAGAATTGTTTTAATTATTATAATCTCCCCTCTACATTATCCCACGTTCCCACCGCCGTAAGCCGCGGCCCAACATCAGACTGTGCGTAACGACCGACCCGACATTAGGAAGTCTCCATACAAGCACACAGTTCACGAGTCAACAATGTCGACAAGATCGATCAACAACTACTCTAATCTAACACAATCTCTTCAGGATATCTTTCAATCAATGGAAATGTCATGTAGTTTGTAGATAGTGTCATGTCTAATACAGCTCTTGACGGTGAGCCGGTGACTACGGGGCTCTCGACGGTGAGCTGAGTCTCGGCTTGCGGGTAGTCAATAAATAAATAAACAATTTACAAAAAATAGTATTTAATTTTATGAACAACTAAGCATATAATAAAAAGTTTAATACAAGACTAGCAAAGAATTTATTATTAAAATAAATATAAGTACCATTAAAAAACAAGATTTGTTGGTAACTAATAATTCCTAAAGACCCGTAAAATAGATCACCAATCAACTGAGAAACACTAATTAGTTCATCACAGTTCACTCTAATCATCAATACAGTTTACATTAAGGAATCAAAGTAACTCCCCAGACTTCCTCATTATTATTTTGAAGTCTATTGAAAGTAACACTATCTTTTATCGTAGAGATAACGATATAGATCGTAATGGAATAAACGCAAATGACCCTTTGTAACATTGTTTGTAGTTAAACATTTCACTAAACTGTCATAGCACATCGTCACAAATATTCTGCGCAATAAATGTTAATTTTGGTCGTGAGCTTAGAAATAATTGTATGCGACAACAACTTCTAATGAAGCTTGAGCAGCGATTGTCACGTTCGCGATGGAAGGTGGGGCGGTGCGTCAGGCGTCGGGCGTGCGGGCCCAGCGGCGCCGCCGGGCCGCCAGCGCCGCGCCCACCGCGTGCACGCGACCCGCCAGCGCCGCGCCATCCTGCCGCCGACCACACACGTCACATTACAGCGCCTTGCCGTTAATTAGGTACATACAGCATTCCACAAAACTTTTTCAGGCCAAGATTAGTCCGTAAATTCATTTTGTTACAGTTATTTTATTTATTTATTTATTGTTAACATAGAAGTAGAAACACAATTTGCTTGAACTAGGTGATAAAACCTGTATCTCAAGCAGCGGTGCTCCTCGTACAAAGAATACAACAGCTTTACTTCTGATACACAAAAATAGAAAATTAATAGACAAGAATTAAACTGAAATTCATGGATTGCATAAAAGTGACAATAGGTATGTGAGCTTATAAATATTATAATTAACAAAAAATAATGAAATGAATGTATTAATATACCCTCTATGTGTAATGAGTCTGAGCATGAGTGAGTGTAAGATTAAGTTAAAAGTTATTAAGAGTATAAGGTTAAGTTAAGATAAAAGCTATTTAACAAAACTTCAGTGTCCTTATAGTTGAAATTAAGCAACCAATTAAATATAGAAGTTCTGCATTTCTTACTGTTTAGAGTACTTTAGAGGATATATATTAAGGTGTTTATTAATTTCATTATAAAGAGTGGGACCTATATCCAACTTGAGAGGGCGGATTTATTTTAGTGTCGCTCTTTCTAAGAGTGGAACGGCATTATATAATACAGTTAAAACTTCGACCCCATATTCCAAAGCGGATGGCAACATTTACGTTGAGGTGTCTGTGGACACCACCAACTCCGTAACTCCAGGTGTGCTCTGAGCACTTTCACCTGTGCATGTAACAAATACATAAAATTACCAATAGGTCATGTTCCCGGTGCGCAGAGCGGGTGTCGGTGGCGGCGTGGCGTCGCGCCGGGCACTGCGCCGCCTGTGTGCGAGGGCCGGTCATGTTATAGCTTACTGATACACATTATGGTAGTAGTAATTGTAGTAGACGGAAACCATAAAAATCATGTGAAATAGGCAGCAACAAATCTTACATTTCAGTTTATCGTAAAACATCGAGTCTACCTCATGAATCAAGTTCTAAACGAGCCTAGAGAAATGAGCAGAGAAATTTTACCTCATCACAAGTGTGTTTTCTAAGCATCCTCTTTGGCGGAACCGGGGCTGACGAACAGCTTGCCATCTCACTTCCACTCGTACTGGCCCAATGCATTCGTCTCTTTTCGTCGTTCGAAGAATAACAACTCGCAGAACCGAGTGCAGTCTCTGTTATTCTATGACTTGCACATTTTGAGCAGCTCGCTTCGCTTTCTCCGCCTCTTCGTGTTCCTTTCTCTTTCGTTTTTAATCTTTCTTTTAAAGTTGATATTATAGTCTGTTGCGTTTTAATTGTATTTTCTTGTTCTCTAGAAATTAAAAACATCACCTTCGAATAGAATACGACACGAAATGTCCCACGCACATCTCGATGATTCTTAAACAAATGCGTCGTGCGGTGCCAGCACACGCGCCCTTCCTCTATTGAAACTTCAACCGGCCACGACTCGGTACTCGCCTTGTGATGAATATGGACTTCGAAAACCACTTAACCCCGAGAGGAGTTGCATGAGCTACCCGAGTTGAGGAATGAACCAAACTTCATCTAAGTATGCTGTAGAATGAAGAACGTTCACGATATATGGGCAATATCGCATTAAAATTAATGACTAAAACATTAATTTTCCTAATATTTGGTGGTTCATGTTGTGGGCTCGCACGGCCAGGTACCGGCCGCTCCGCATTATTTTCAGCGTAAAGCAACGCCTATACAATACACTATTTACCAAAATTTATTTCTAAAGTTTAAAATGTATATGTAATAGAGAACCGCTCCCGAATATTCCGAGGGTGAAACAGTCGGGCAGCAGGATGACCTGTGTGCTTAGTGCGAGTTTTTTAACGTTCTCGATAGCGTAAAAGTTAGCTCATATTTGTATGGAATGGGATCGTTTGCCTACGTTTGCCGCTAGGGGCGCTGTTCCAACTGCATACAAAATTGGGCTAACTTTTACGCTATCAAGAAGGAACGTTAAAAAACTCGCACTAAGCACACTGGGCGATCACAGCCGAGACAGTCGTGTGTTTGCGGGCGCTGTGTTGTCGCTGATGTCACGTCGCATCGCGCGTCGCCACGTCCCCGGGGATTCGGTTATATGAGGTTGTTGACAAATATGTATCACAATCTATATATTGCGGGGTCACCGAACATCGATTTGATGCTAAACAAAGGCAGTAAATATTGCGAGCGCGGCCGGGGCGCGACACTCACGCGTGCAGCGCGGCGGCGCGGGCGAGCCAGCCCCGCAGCGCGGCGGCCGCGCGCCCCGCCCCCGCGCTCGCCGCCTGCAGCTCCGCCTCCAGCACGCAGGCGTCCCGCGCGCGCGCCCTGCGGACCCACACCCGCACTACACTCACCACGCTACCCCATCGGACTGTGTTCCAAGTTACGATCCATTTTGAACAACAACATTAGGATCGTAACAAACTTGAAATTTTTAAAACTTTGTAGTTCATTTAATAAGTAAAAAAACATTGTTTAAAAACAGACTAAATTCATCAGTTAGGGCGTCTAATGACGTAAATGTTCAGTAAACAAAATGAGTGCAACATTATTCCGTATTTAGGAAACTATTTCCTACCTATACTCCGCGCGCGAGCTCCGAGGATTCGGGGGCTGAGGAAGCGGGCGGGCGTGCACCGCGCCCGACCCTCGCTTCATACCCCGCACTCTCCCAATACTAGTGTTGACCTTAACGTGAGAGTACGCTTACCGACTCGTTGTTTTTAATTTTGCGATAACAGTGTTAATTACGTGTGATTTCTAATATAAATAGTCTTACACTTATAAGTCTTTTTGTTTGCGCAAATAGCTATTTAATTTGATGAAAAAGGAATGGCGAACACTAGCATAATAAACATGTCTTAGTATTAGAGGAAAAGGTTGTCGAATCATTTATTATTGAAGTGGTGTGAGGAGAGTGACATCAAGAGGAGAGTACACCAAATTCTTCAACTACTGATTAAACTGATTGCGAGAGTAATTAATAAGATTTCACATTCATTTTGTTCAATTAAAATCAGTTCATTAAATGAAATTCATACGTGATCAATTGTTTTTTTTTATTTCAAGTACATAATAGCCTCATAAAACTATTTTATAATTTACACCCGCACGGAGGCTTAAGATGTGTTAGTATCGATAGCGCAACGACTAATTACAACACTAGCTCATTACGTCAACATTCCTTAAAAATCCTCGGAGCTCGCGCGCGGACAGTACGCCATTCATAGCATAAAATTGACAAAAAAACATTGACTGCATTTTGACGTACATATATAAATTTTACTACTGCTTTCGAATTATAGCACACTGAGTAAGTTATATTCTGAGGTACGGTGGACAAGGAACAGTAAGGGATTTAGTAGGTATCGGTGTGGGTGATACAACAGCCTGCGGGGTGTGCAGTCGTGTACTCGAAGACGTGAATAAACTGAATTCCCAATTTTTTTTATTAGGCAGATTTAGGCAGACGAGCCTACGACCCACCTGATGATGAATGGTTACCATCACCCATGGACATCAGCAATGCCAGTGGCAAAATCAAGCCGCTGCCTATCGTTTAATACTCTCAAATTTATAATAATAATAGGTAATGGTATGGTAATTCCCTCATATTCTAACAAACCTAATACAATCTTGAACAATGTACAATATTTATTGCGATTAAATTACCTAATTGAAAGAAATACCTAAAAATATCATCGACATGTAGTATGTGTGTCTCCGCGCGGCGCAGCTCGTCCCGCAGCGCGCGGTGTCGGCTCGCGGTGTCCGCCAGCTCGCCGCGACACTGCGACACTTGCTTCATTAGACTCGACACTTCGATGCGCAGGTTCATGTTCTGCGAGTCAAATACACAGATAATAAGTCGCGATACCTTTGGAATATCTATATCTATGGAGACTTGGTTCTATGTGTCCATTATGCCGAGTAGTCTGAGAATAATGCCTTTAAAGGGGCTGTTTGATGAATTAATTATATAAAAACGTTAATCAGTTTATAGTTAAACCTAAAGGTGACCGGTGTCTGATGTCAGTAAACGATAAACTGCTATTCTCCTGAAATCTGGTGGTAGGACCTCTTGTGAGTCCGCACGGGTTGGTACCACCAACCTGCCTATTTCTGCCGTGAAGCAGTAATGCGTTTCGGTTTGAAGGGCGGGGCAGCCGTTGTAACTATACTTGAGACCTTAGAACTTACATCTCAAGGTGGGTGGCGCATTTACGTTGTAGATGTCTATGGGCTCGAGTAACCACTTAAGACCAGGTGGGCTGTAAGATCGTCCACCAATAGAAGAAAAGAAAACAAAAATCATAACCTCAACGTTATCAAATTTGTTGTTCAGAACATCAAAGCATGATAAAGCATGACGTGTCTGAGCGTGCTCACAACACGACCCACCACCAGTTTGACTTACCTCCTTAGCGACACTATCGGTCTTCTGGAGTTGCTCCCTCAGCCCCTCAGCGGTCTGCTCACAGCAGTCACGCTGCTGACTCACTCGCCGTAACTCTTCCGTCTTGTCTTCTAACATAACTGAGTATAAAGGAAATCAAACTTAATTAACCATTCATAAAGTTTGAGATGTTGTTGTTGCTGTAGTCATAGGGTACTCCGCTGGTACATAAGGCCCTGACAAGTTGTCCCCACTTGACCCTGTCCTGCGCTTACTCCTTGACATCACTCCAGATCATGTCAGGTTAATTTGCTCAATGCCTCGAACAAATTCCGAGTTTTGATGTAATACAATATACCATCACCACTGCCGCGGGATGTGCGCCCCCGCCGCGGCCCGTGCCTCTACCGTTCATTTATTATACATAGGGATTTCACGAAGGACTTACTAAAATTTCACTTGATATTATTTTTTTTAGGTTGGGATGATGACTAGTCTCGAAGGCGCCAGGACAGGCGGGATTAGCTATCAGTTGTTGGAGCGCCTCCATTGGACCTCGTAACTAAAGGCAGCTGCTTCGTGAATGCACTTCGGAATTGCAAAACTCAACGGGTACACAGTGTTAGTACTTCGCTTGATTTATGAAATCTGCTTGCTACTTTTTTTTTATTGTCCTTGTAGGCAGACCAGCATACGGCCCACCTGATGGTGAGTTACCAAGCCGCAGCCGGATGGTACGTGGCAAAAAAGATCTCTGGAAACGCACTGTGGATAAACGCAGTGGCTCCAGGTAGAATGGATGAACTCTACTCCGGTGGCGGGCGGTGCGTAAGTAAAAACGAGATGATGGAATCATCTCAAAGAATTCCTCAGAGCACTGCTTCTGTTGCAGCCAGCGGTATGTACGTTATTTTGTTTGGTGCTGCGGTTTTGGTGGTTTGGTTTGGTCGGGTGCGTTACGGACGAGTTCGGTTACCTTGGAGCTGATGCAGCTGCACCGACATGGAGTCGCAGGCCGTGCTCTGGTCCCGAGACGTCGCGCCCATCGCCGACACTTGTGACTTCATCACGTTTAACTACAAGCATAGTGGAAAGACGTGTGTAAATTTGTGAGTCCGCGCGGGTAGGTACCACCGTCCTGCCTATTTCAGTAATGCGTTTCGGTTTGAAGAGTGGGGCAGCCATTGTACTGTTAAAAGTGAAAACTTAGAACTCACATCTCAAGGGGGTGGCGGCATTTACGTTGTAGATGTCTATGAGCTCCGGTACCCACTTAAAACCAGGTAGGCCGTGAGCTCTATGTAACAAATAAAAATAAAATTAATTAATCGTGATATTAATCAGCTATCAATTGGCCTCGACTATCTCAAGCCGTTGAGGTACCGTACGCTATCTCAGACACCCTGTAGTAAGTTATTACTAATGGGAACTCTATTATAAGTTTAGAATTTAAATTGTATGTGTAAAAAAAATTATTGGTAATACATACCTCGTCCTCCTTCAGGCTTATAAGTTGTTTCAATTCCTTCCTAGATTGTTTTTCTTCTTCCAAGGCGACCTCCAGGTCACTGAGCCGTCTACGGAGCTGCCTAACTTCCTCCTGCATATAAAAACATTAACGTCACCCGCTATATTCGTTTTATGGGCTGACACCGGCAGCACGCGATTTGGACATTCTCACTCAGCATGTTCGAAAGTGAAACTTAACTTTGCGGTTGAAACAATTTATCTCTCAATTATTTTCTATATAACTATCAATGTTGTACATGCAAATAAAAACTTATGAGGGTGATAAACGATGGCTACATCTTTTGATTGCCTTGACCAAGAAGATTGTAATGACCCCTTTCCGCAGTAGAACTTAGTGTTAGGTACTAACTTCATTAAAATATTTCTAGCTATGCCTGAGAAAAGCAAGTTAGACAAGTTAGCCATTAGACAGGCAAACATAACAACAAGCAAGTTTTTATCTTTTCTTTTTAAGTACCAAAACTCTAAAAGTTTAAATAGCTAATTTATTGAATTCATAACTCACCTGTGTATTTTTATTAACCTCATTCAATCTTGCGTTCTCATCTTGCAGTCCGCATATACAATCACCCTGAAAGTATTAAACAGCTAATTTTCATTCCGCGACAATGAATATGTATTCTAGATTACCCATCAACAAGATAAACAGATAATTTGATAAACCCAGTAGTTTTAGTCCGCAGTGGAGAAGCTCTCAGTGTAGAGGTTAAGACTCCTTCTAAACTGCCGCAGTTGCTGGACTCTTAGAACAGCCGGCCCGTGGGCTCGAACAGTCCGTGAGTGGTGACGTCACACCGTCAACCGATGACCTGGTGAAGATTGTGGGAGTCCACTGGATATGGATAGCGCGAGACAAGTCACCCGCGGTCTTTAGGTGATAAGGCTCCTGACATGAGGTAAGTTATAAAGCTTACATCTTGCGTATGTCTATTGAACTAAAACCCAAAGACTTAAAATTTTTAAAATATCTTAAAGATATTTTGATCCCTTCCAACGCTAGAGAGATAGAGAAACTTTTCTGACCGACAAGTCTTGCCGGTGGACACTATTAAATAGGATCACCATCATCATAGGTCACTGGACCTCTCGATTGGCAAAAACTAATTACAGACTATAAATACTACACTTAAACGTAAAATAAAAACAATGACATAGGAAATTATAATTGTAATGAAACATATTTAACAAATCACATATTAAGCATAAAAATGCCGGAAACACATGCTATTAACAATAAAACAGTAAGTTTCTGAAAATATTAGTAAGCTTTTTGAAGGTTTATTATCTTCTGTTCAGGACCGTAAAAGTATTTTTAAGCGAAAAATTTATTGTAACATATTTGGTCAAGGCGAAGGCTGTTACAGGTCCTATCGGATCTTCTCAGCTGCCCTCGAGCTATAAGGCCGCTAGTGCTAGGACAACTGCTAGCAAGCGCTACAAATACCTCCGCGCCATTAACAATCATCCATCCCAAAAAGGCTTTTTTTTATTGCTTAGTTGGGTGGACGAGCTCACAGCCCACCTGGTGTTAAGTGGTTACTGGAGCCCATAGACACCTACAACCTAAATGCGCCACCCACCTTGAGATATAAGTTCTAAGGTCTCAAGTATGGTTACAACGGCTGCCCCACCCATCAAACCGAAACGCATTACTGCTTCACGGCAGAAATAGGCGGGGTGGTGGTACCTACCCGCGCGGACTCACAAGTGGTTCAACTACCAGTAATTACGCAAATAATAATTTTGCGGGTTTGATTTTTATTACACGACTAGCGACCCGCCCTCGCTTCGCTTCGGAAACATTAAAACCAAAAAAATAAATTAAAAAAAATAAAAAAAAAAGTACCCTATGTTCATCAGGGACAATGTCGGCTTCTAATGGAAAAAGAATTTTTCAAATCGGTCCAGTAGTTTCGGAGCCTATTCGAAACAAACAAACAAACAAATCTTTCCTCTTTATAATATTAGTATAGATGTTATTCCTTCACCTTGGAAGTCAATAGTGAAGATTTGTTTAGTATGTATTTCATTAGAATTTCATTAGCTGATGTTGACTAATAATGCTAACCTCCAAGCTAAATACCCCTGTCCCTGTACTGAGGTGCATGCAATGAACGATAATTCGACAACACAAGCGCAGACAAGCACGCGACAGTGAGGACGTACTGTGAGCATGTTCCTCAGCTTGAGGAGGTGGTCCATGATGTCCTGCAGGTCCTCGCCGACCCCCGAGGCCACGGACGCGTCACTGCGCTCCCACATGCCCTGGACAAGCCGCCATAGCATCGCAGATAAAACATTATTAATACACACATGCCACTCTATAAGTTTATTGTAACAATTAGTAACTTTATTTTATTTAATACTATATCAAATGATATGAATGTAAATGTTTTTAAAATGTATTCTAAAACACAAAACAATAAGAAAAATTGTAAGAACAGATCGATTTTGATTTAATATTGACGATATTAAAATTGTTTTATATTTTGAAATGATAAAGTGTACTCTTGAAGGCATAGCATGTTTTGTGTCTCAACAAAAATGTGGCGTTTTTAACAAAAATTATAAACATTCATTTCTACAACTTTACGCATTCTTATAATTTCCTTAACATAAGGTTGTTTTATGTTTTCAACGAATAGTTTTGTGATTAACAATACCGAGTCGTTGTTGGAGCCGTGCAGAAAGTTAGATATCTCCAGCTTCAGGGCTTCCACTTCCAGCGCGATATCCTGTGAAACAAACCATATTATCATTAGCTAGGGAAGTGCTCTCGTATGCTTGTCATCTTCAACATTATGTTGATCTTCCGGAGACTACTGCCTGATACATGTAAGTGGTTTGCTGCCATAGAGTAAGATTATCATGCTCACAGACAAGTTCATGTGGCGGGGGCCGTCGGAGGCTTTCCAAACGCATATATAAATTTGAGGTCAACAAAACATCATTTATTTATTAATAAAAAAAAAAAATACCTGACACTTATCCAAGGACCACTGCTGTGTTTTCACAACGGTCTGCAGTTTGTCGATCTGATTACTTTTGTCTCTTTCTATCATTCTTATATCTAAAATCGACTTTCTCAACATTTCAATCAAATCTTCCTGTTTTGCTGTCTGCAATATTCAAAACATTGAAATTTTATATCAAATAAAATCGAAATCGATAGAAATCTCACTTAATGTACAAATCTATCAAAAAAGTGCTAAATTGCCAAACGAGCCGCTTCGAACTGAACGTGTCCGGTTTCCGTTCCGTGTCGCATAAGGTGCTAGTGCGGCACGGATGGTGCATACAGCCTTCTCTAACTTGACGTTACGATAAACTCTGGTGCGAAACTTCACCTCACTAGAGCCACTGGTCGCGCGAAATCAATTAGTTGCATTAGAGTTTGACAAATTAGATAGATATATAGAGATAGAGATAGATAAAATAATTAAGATGTGAAGCACGCACTCACCTCATAGAAACACTCCCGATACAGTTCCTCTATGACGCTCAAATTATCTTGCAATGTTTTGACGACATTTTTCTGATTTACCAATTCCTATAAAAATTATCACATCCATTCCTGATAATATTGTGAATTCAAATTTTTTCACTTGTTAAAAATAAATTATTTGTAGTGTACATTTAGCATTTTTTTTTTAAGTTTCTCCAAAAAATTCAATAAACAAGGGGTAAAGAACCAATTTCAGAAACGTAAAAACGCCTACTTTCCTACTTCAATACATTTAAAAACCCAATAAAATACAAATATAATATTTCACCGACAATTTTTGCATTAAACGTATTATAATTTTAATAAGTGCGGAGTTAACATACGACCTCATGTGAGGCAACTGCCTCCATATTATTTGGTTGCAGGTTCACGGAATATACGAACTTGCCAAACAACAAAATGATCTCTTGTCATTAGAATACTTTCACCTACTATACATATTTACTTATATATCGATGTGGTCAGTTCGTGTACAATAATCATTAAAATAATTGTAGACAGTCCTTACCAGTTGAGTTTGAGCGTCGATCGAAATTCCGATCTTCTCTATTTTGTTATCTTCGATTGTTTTGCGAAGGCTTTGAATCTAAAACAAACATATATAGTACGCTTTGAAGATGTAGGTAATACCAGATCTGTGAGCACACGTTCCGTAGAAAAATTCAAGGTCTTGTGAAATCGATAACAATGCAGTAATTATTATTTTTTACACTTGTATTACTTGTATTTTACTGGTATGACCACATCTCGAGATCTAAATTGCTATAGTAGAATTATTTTGTCTGAGCAATTTAGGTCACAAAAGCTCGGCTAGGGCGGTGAGCACGTTGCGCGGACGCAATGTCATTACCTATAAAAACAAATGAGTCATCGAAGGCAGGTACACGGCGGCGGAGTGATATACGAAGGGTGGTGAGACATTGTTATCACTGACCCCCAAAATGACAAAACTAAATACACTATCGATAACGCTTATCGACAGCAATAATGCGCATCACTATGCCCGTCCATAAGGCTCGTGAGTAGAAGAGAGAGCGAAATACTCGCTTCACCGCTCCGATTTTTTTTGACCCAAACTCCAAACTGCACGGACAAAATAATTCTACTATAGTAAAGCAACCTGCTGGGTCATTTTATAATGTTTAACTTCTTCTTCATGCAACAAAGCAGACAACGACGCGTCTTCCACTTGCGATAAAGCATGCGACACGCACGCACCACACGCCTGTAGCAATACTGTAATAACTTACCTCCATCTCTTTCCTGTCAACTTCCCTCCTCATATCTGCCAGTTTCGTTGTGAGCACTGAGATCCTGGCCTCGGCCACGGCGAGACTCTCGCTTTGTATCCTCATCGTTTCTTCTTTATTCTCAAGCTACAATAAAAACATTTAAAGCGCTACTTGTGGTACACAATTTAGTTAAAGGCGAGCAATTGAGCTTTGTTTGTCAATAGACGCTGCAAGCACGACTTTTAAACTCTTCCAACGCTTTTGATATTCAGGGAAATGTATAGCTTTAATGTAGAGATAAACAAACACATGTTGGCAGAGACGCCTTCATATATTGAAGTCGTCGTGGGCTAAGCGATAAGACATTCGGTGCATTCGTATTGAGCGATGTACCGAAGTCCGAATCCCAGGCGGGTACCAATTTTTCTAATGAAATATGTACTCAACAAATGTTCACGATTGACTTCCACGGTGAAGGAATAAAATCGTGTAATAAAAATGAAACCCGCAAAATTATAATTTGCGTACCTAATTACTGGTGGTAGGACCTCTTGTGAGTCCGCGCGGGTAGGTACACCCACCCTGCCTATTTCTGCCGTGAAGCAGTAATGCGTTTCGGTTTGAAGGGTAGGGCAGCCGTTGTAACTTTACTTGAGACCTTAGAATTTATATCTCAAGATGGGTGACGCATTTACGTCGTAAATGTCTATGGGCTCCAGTAACCATTTAATACCAGGTGGGCTGTAAGCTCGTCCAAACATCTAAGCAATAAAATAAAAAAAATATGCATACGAGGCTAATTAATTTACTTTGTGCTTATTTATCAGCGTAAAATAACGCTCAGAAACGGTGTACTAGTTAAAAATGTAACTAATAACAGCGGACCACTCAAAGGTCGAAGATGTTCATTAGATTAAAACTCACAACTTGTGTAGACAGTAGCTGATGGCGCTCAGCTCGTCCACTTCCTCCACATGAACTGCTGTCCGCCGCACTCTCCTGTACAGCGAAATCATTATTATGGAAGAGTGGTACCTAAATACTATAACTGAGTAATATATGGTAACTATACTGAGACCTTAGGAACTTATATCTCAAGGTGGGTGGCGCATTTACGTTGAAGATGTCTATGGGCTCCAGTAACCACTTAACACCAGGTGGGCTGTGAGCTCGTCCACCAATATAAGCAATAAATTTTTTCCGAAAACGCAAAAGCGCCAACGGTTCCCATGACGGTCAGTGGTCATCGTGACACAAATATACATAATGATATATTATGGATCCTCACGCTGTGGAGAGTTCAATCGACGTTAATATCTCACTTTAACAACATTCACTCAGTGAATTGTAATTTATAATAACAATTATGTATTGATAAAAACAAATGCTTGTTATGATAGCACATCAGTGACAGAAAAGACTGTGAGTTTTGTTGTATCGCGAAAGGCAGACAACCAATTTTATCTTTTTTCTCTCAACATTTTATTAAAACGCTGAACCTGTGTATCTAAATATTTATTTATTTGAAGACTTCAACGCAATTTTTAGCTATTTCAAGACGTCTAATTATTTCTAAAATTAGCGTACGTGTCAAGGAACGATGGAAATACAGCAATTTTATTACTATGACCTAATTAATATCCTGACTAGAAATACCAGGGTAAAAATATTAGTCTTATCTTTAGTTCGTGTTACTATTAAAACAGTTTTTTTTAATAAACATAGTCTATATTTTAATTTGAAATATTAGTTAGGTGTAGTAGAATGTACTGATACAATAATGTTTTGTAAAATCTGAGTATTATGTCCATGCATTTGGAAGATAGCAAGCCGAAACCGAAATGGTAGATAATTCATGATGATCTAAAAACTGTTAAGTACGCTTAAATATCGGATTTTGACAAATTAATTTATACAGATTACACCGCATAGTATGTCGCGTTAATTTTTTAACGTTTTCTACTAATGTATCGCTTACAAAATATTAAGTAGATAAATTATGAATATCCTACCTATCAAACCCCACCTAGCAAAACAACAAAAAAAACCGAACTCACTTTAGTAAAATCACTTGTATCAGAATCCGTACACATCATTAATCCATTGAACATCATTTTTAAGAGTAAAAAACAACAAACAAACTTTTATAAAATTGATCTGCAATTGACGCAAACTTCAAGACACACGCTCAACACAATATCAATGTTTTCATCATTTCATTGGGCTCTTTGTCGCACGTGCTCATTCGCCCGTAGTGCGCGCTGCATTCACCGCGGCAGGTCGCTGGTTGCACGCGCCTAAATTTAGGAAAAGAGATTTCTGAGGAAGAGCATTGCCCCACTCGACTATTCTTTATAGTTCCGTAGCTATACGGAGTGGTTTATTTCAGTTACTACACTGTTTGTACACCTCTTTCATTCATTGAGAGCGCTACTTGAATTAAATACGCTTTGAAGATAGCTTATTTCGATGAGGCTATTTAGATACATTTAAATATCGGTTTCCTTTAAAGCTGCAGCGATATCTATCCTCGGATAGAAGAAACCTGAAGCGCTACAGACATATTTAAGAAATCTTGTAGTTAAGTTTCGAAGAAAATCATCTGACCTATCAGCCTGACGCCCTGTACAGCAAAAGTGCTAGCGGTTATTAGACATATTTCTTCCCAGCTACTAATAGAAGCAGATTTGGTCAAACTAGTATGTAACCCCCTAGAAATCGGTGGATTTGTATTCATTAGCAGAAAAATTATAATAAGGTGGTGGTTGGTTGATTACTTTATTTTTAGGCTATCTCAAAATTTAGAGTTAAACTACAGAATCCGTATTAAACACATTGATTCTCGTACAAATATGTGAATCAATAGCGTTACTGACTGAGAGAGACTGATTTTAAATATCGCCAATTATACCCATCGGACTTGCGTTGCGTACTACAAACTCGATTTATCAATATGCAGATTTCAAAAGAACCACCTGTATAGAAGTATCATTAGCGACAAAAGTGTTAAATAAATTAGAAGAAACGACTTCTAAGGTTTCCGGCGAGACGTCCGCCGGATTGCGACAGCGGCTGAAACTGTATCCATACGTAAATATAACTACGTATATACTTATCTTTATATGATGACATGAAAATTGATAGACTGCTTCTCACATACTTGTCTATGGCATTTTAGACCACCACATCACGCCGGCTGATATTCCACACAACCACCAGTTGAAAATCACAACTGCTAGGAAATAGCCACTGCCAGATAAAAGTAAACAACGACAGAAAATACACAAACAGACCCGACAACCATTGTAACAGTTTGGCAAAGAATCTTCTAACTATACGAGATAATTTAACATTGTTTTATTTAGTTCTATAATTTTTTTTTGTTGTTGTTAATGCACTGTCGAGTGTACCTATAATTGAGGTGACATCTGCGATGAACATTTGTTAATTGTTCAATGTTTTGTATCGATGATCACTTTGTTGGTGCAACTTAATAAATAAATAAATAACACTGCTGAAAATATGGCAAATATTAAACTTAAATCACAGAACCTAACAGGCTTAACTTAAGGTGATGTCCGTATTTGATGGTGTTCATGTAGCAAATTTCAGATAATGAACTTACGAAGCTGACAAAAATATAATTGAATCTAATTTCAATCTATTTAGAACCATGTATGTACATAAACAAACGCATCAATTGACCTTACCTGCAAACACTCATGGAATCCGTGTTAAGTATACAGTACAATAGTATATAGAGTATGGTTGGCAGATAATTAAATTAATGTAAGATATAAATTTATAAAGAACTTGCAGCGCTCAATCTCAGAGGAACCTCTGGTTCGAGGGTACTAATCATCTAATTGTGTAGATGCACCACGGCGCATAACCTTTGAGGTAATGCTAGAGGTGACTGCAGTCAGATAGGAGCAAATTTCATAATATCTAGAGATATATAAAGACCACTTGTGCCCTTCCCTGTGCAGTTTCCGAGATCATCATGGCCCTTTGACCTATGATGGCATCATGGGCCGTATTGTAAGATTCGTTCTTCAAACAAAATTTTCAATGAGTTTTTAGGGAAAAACATCAGCTAGAATAGACCTTTGGCATTGGCAATGTCCATGGTCGTTGGTGACCATCACCGATAAGAGCGGTCTTAAGCTCTTCAATCTTTGAGGACTTTTTAAAAATACAATCAAAACTAACCTGGAAACTTTTAACATGATGTGCGCATCGTCTGAAAAACAGAACGTTTATTTTAAAACATAGATGGTATCGTAAAACGTGTTTGGGTTATGTTCGCCGCGCGACGATTATATGTCACGAGGTCTTTAACCCAACGAAATAATAATAATAACTGGGAACAAATCACGCACGCTCATCCGGCCTCAATTCAGGATTCCCTGTGTTATGGGTACCAAGGGACTGACATACATTTTTCACATTTTTTTTTATTGCTTAGTTGGGTGGACGAGCTCACAGCCCACCTGGTGTTAAGTGGTTACTGGAGCCCATAGACATCCACAACGTAAATACGCCACCCACCTTGAGATACAAATTCTAAGGTCTCAAGTATAGTTACAACGGCTGCCCCACCCTTCAAACCGAAACGCATTACTGCTTCACGGCAGAAATAGGCAGGGTGGTGGTACCCACCCGCGCGGACTCACAAGAGGTCCTACCACCAGTACCTAATTACGCAAATTATAATTTTGCGGGTATGATTTTTATTACACGATGTTATTCCATCACAGTGGAAGTCAATTGTGAACATTTGTTAAGTACGTATTTCATTAGAAAAATTGGTACCCGCCTGCGGGATGCGAACACCGATGCATCACTTCATACGAATGCAACGGACGTTTCACCGGTCCTTTAGGCCGACGACATTACGGCGCGCATTAGAAATCGGCACGCGTATACAATGTGCGGCACAACTTTACCAGATATGATTTTTTTTAAGATGTCAATATAAAACTAAACGTTAATGTGTGTAATCTGTTATGAATGTGTATATTAAAAATATGAAACTAAAATGGGAATATCAAGCGTATCGGAACACCTGATTGTTTCTAACTTTCGAACATTCACGAACATTCGATTTCGTATCTCGATGTGAGGAAGCGCTCACGTTCTGGTGTCAACGGACCAATGAGACAGAGGACGATGACGAAAATAAAATTGACCTAATTTTAAACGAGGAATTTATTCTTCCTGAATAAAAGTCTCATAGTCAAATACTCGTAGTGTCTGAAAACAAAACAAAAGAGAACAGAGACGTACGACCGCTTACTGGTGATCGTTTACTTCGATCTACTTGGCTACTTGCTGCTTTAAGATACGACAGAGCTCTTCTACAGATATAATAAATAGACAGATCCTACAATATTATGTTAGTTCTATCAGTCGTAACAGTAAAAAGACAGTATTCTTCATTATGTTGAAAATCGAATTAAGATTTTTTAATTGCTCTGAAGCGTGATGCTAATGCTCCCCGTTATTAGTGAAATAAGAAATTGCGCAAAATTAAAAATATAGTAATCAAATATTTACTCAACAAATAAGTTACTAACTTACAGAATTAGTTCAGAACTTGATGCCTTTATTTCAACTTTCTTTATCATTTCTGACTCTTGGAAGCAATCGCAAAGATTTTCCTCAGTTTGTTTTAGTGAAACATCTGAAATGACCACGAGAGCTGGATCCACCTGCAAAATTAGGTTTCATATTTATTGTATTACATTCTGGTAATGGAATAGTTTATAGATTTCTAAATCTGTGTAAAACGAATTCATTCATTCTCATTGTATGAATTGGTTCTATCTACCTTTTTAATGCACGTCATGAGTTTTAACTACACATATTACAAATTATAGTGTATACTTTAGTGATATACTAGTTGCAAATCAGCTCATATCAGTTGATAACAAACAGTTGCCATTGAAATTCTGTAATCGAAAGCGAACTGTATGAACTCGTAAAGAGGCCGGTGCCTTGAGCGATGTTTATCAACTTTTTTCTGTCGACTACGACAAAAAAATTACATGTGGGAATAATAAGTAAAAACAAAGTGACGCACTTTTTCAATTACCAATATATCCGATGCAGTATCAAAATTACGATCTGAGTCACTAATCTTTTCTGGTCCAATGGAATTTGACAGTGTATCCTAAAATGAAAAGAATATTAGCAAAATACTTCTTCATACACATTGGTCCAAAAAAATTTTTTTATGCTTATACCTAATACTTACATTCATGCTTTTTTCAACAGACCTTGTATCTTCTATCACTTAAAATTTGTATGTTAAAACTTTGTGAAAGAAACACGTGGTTATCTGTTGTAACTTAAACTACATTCGTAGGTAATCCACATTATCTACACTAATCCATACTAATATTATAAAGGTGATGGTGTATTTGTTTGTTGGTTTGTCCTTCTTTTACAATGACACGAAGCAAGGACATGTTTTTTTAAGTGATCGTTTTAGGTGATTGACATACGCCACCTTTTATCCCGAAAAAAAATCAGTATATTTCTGCGGAGAATTGTTTTATTGTGAAATATTAACTGAACTTTTCCTTGACGACGCAGGCGAAGCCGCGAGTAACAACTAGCAATACACAAAAACGTCTAGCGCGAGATTCGTTAGGACTTTGTAATCGAATATACCACTTACACTAAGACTTACTCAGACTCCGCAAAGCGGCAACGCATACGAAAGAGATTCATGTTGACAACATGCAATTATTATATTGAAGTCCAAGCTGATCGGCAGAATTGTGTGTGATTTTATTAATTGAAGATGTTGTAGAGATTTTAGGGGCAACGACATGGTATGGGGAGATGTTCCACCGAGTGGATGAAAATACTCGGTAGACAAACACTTCAGAATGTTACAGTTCTGAACTTGTATATGTAAACCTTTCTTGATAATGTCGTTAGCGAGATTCAGGCATCTGACAAATATCTTTAAAAGAATTAATAAAATAAAAATATGACAAAAGCTTGAACCACGTAAGTTCTCAAGACCTTTATAATTTCCAGGATTCTGTCGGCACGTCTCAGTTCTGTGACAAACAACTTGTTAAACATTATTTTATTTCAAATCATGACTCAAATTATGACTATTTATAAAATGTTTTACTTTTTTCATTTTTCAGTGACACCTACTCAATATTTACTGTACTTCTACGCTAATATATATTCTCCAGAAAACTGTAATCAAATAGATACAACTTGAATTTAGCAACCCTTCTTTGCTTTGTTCTATGTCGCTTATAAACACCACCACAGCTGGCAAAATCAGATTTTTTTGTTCTATAATCAACCGGGGAAAGGACTTCATGGTGTATCCCTAAGACACATTACTCATGATTAATCTTATATCCAATGTAACTGTCTATCGAATAGAACTGTTATGGTTACCGAGTGATCGACTGCTTTCTCTGGCATTTTGAAGGCAAAAAAAAACAATCAAATCTCAAATAGTTAAACTTTATTCATATAATCAACAGAAAAATAGTCAGTCTTCCCTACACAACATATCGTCATCGGAGTCCATCAGTCTTGGACTGGTGCAATTCGAAAATGACTGTCGACTCAGATCCAAGCCGTCGCAAGGTGGGGTAATGACGTCAGTGATGCGGCGCGCCTTGCTGACGTCATGGCCATGACGACGAGGCTGCTTGCGAACGCACGCGGTGGAATCATAAAGAAACATATCGAACTCTTTATCTCCAGTAATGGCGTGACAATCAATTTTACACATTTCCGTTACTGTTCTCAGCTGAAATTTAAATTTTCAACCATAAGTATTTTTGAAAGACTTACTATAAAAAAGTGGTAATTACACGACTTTCTTCTTCTTGGCAGTCGGGGGCTAACGGTGTTCGCAGACAACCATGGTGATCAGCTTAATGCCGTACTAGTCTGCGCCAGGAGCCTCACGCTGCTACTTCTGACGCATGTATTAAGAAGAGTTTTCATCAGGGTCCTCGATGGATCAGCCCAACACTCTGGACTTCGGTTAACACAGGAAGTCTGTCTGCTGCGATAGTCGCAACAATTTAACTTGGATAAATCTACAAGAAGATTAAGGCAATATCTACCTTTTCTTTGGAATGTTTTAGCTGCCTCCTCAGTTCCCTGATCAGGTCATCTTTGAACTGCGAGTTAGACTGGAAGACCTGGCACTTGTCTTCCAGTGCGAGACACAGCTTTCTAGCCTCGTCGACTTCCTTACTCAGCAAAATGTTTTCATTACGAAGAGACAGGAACTTGATGCTGCTGCTCTGTGTTGTTTTCGTAAGACATAAAAAATCGTTTGCGAGAAAGAAGATTAAAGAATTTGATACCTAATGTTTGTAAAGAAATTCTATTTTGTGCGCAGCTACGTTTGAGCCACTTGCTAAGCGAGATTCAAACAATAAAGATGATTTTGATAAAGATCAATGATACCTTCAAATCCTCTTCAATTTTCTTAATGTGATCTTGGTATTTAATTGTCCCCTCGACTTCGAGCACCGTTAAATCTCTAACTGGCTCATTGTCACCACACTAGAACCGTTTACAAAACCGTACATTGTACAACAAATACATTAACCCTTTTGTTACACTTAATAAATTACACTTAATACGCGGTTTTGACTACTTACAAATTAAATAAAAACAAGCTGAGAAAAATCGTAAAAGAGATATTATTTGTAAGATAATACGTAATAGTATTCAATGATGTCTAAGTATTGTACAACAATTTTTCTATGTCAAAATTAACAATTTAATGGACCAATGCGTATACCAATTAATCATATTACGATAGTACAACCATAAATACCCTGAACCACATACATCAGTTCCGATGTAACACATCTGCGCCATCACTTCAGCGTCTTTTTTCGGTATTTCCCTAAAAAGCAACGAATATATAAAATATGTATATTTTATCGTTTACGCTAACAGACAACAAAAGGTATTCTCTATATAAATAAAAAATAAAGATAATCATAGAAACTTCATGATCATGATTCAGCTGGACTAAAACAATAGTAGCTAAACCGGAGTGTTGACTCCAACCTTAGCTAATTTTAATTCACAATACATTGCGTGCAGTGTAGAGTTAAAACCTATGTCTGCAACCCACTTTTTGCCCCACCCTTCCCTTCAAACCGAAACGCATTACTGCTTCACGGCTGTAATAGGCAGGGTGGTAGTACCTACCCGTGCGGACTCGCAAGAGGTCCTACCGCCGGCGGGATTCGAACACCGATGCATCGCTACATACGAATGCACCGGACGTCTTTTCCTTTAGACCACGACGACTTGCGGCTCAAAGCTATCATGTGTACCTTCTTCGAGAAGTCTCCGATTAGACAATTGGAAACGGAAATAACGCCGAATATTTTTTGTTTTGTCGGGAAGTCATTTATAGGAAATATTTTAAATTGTCTAGTATTGACAATTGGCAAGAACGTGGTCGCCGTTTACGGTTAAAACCACTGTTCATTAGTTAAAGTGAGATAAATAATAAACTTTTTTATTATATTTATTGCATAGACGGATGATCTTGGGACATATCCAGTCCAAATCTCTAGTATAACGGCCGGTCCGACCTTTTAAGCAACATGATCGTTTCCCTGAGAAATAGGTAAATTGGTGGTACCGCCTGCGTGGGTCCAGAATGCACCCGACTACCAGTAACAACGAGTACGTGCGTTGGTGCAAGGCCCGATACTAACGGCACGCGGTACTGGCTGACGGAGAGCTCGTTCCTGAGATTCGAGATCTTCTCTTCGCACTGCTGTATATCTTTGTTCAGCTTCTGGATCTCTCTACACAACATATTTGGAGGATTTTTAGAACTTTACAGGAAACCCATTCAAAGTTAAAATTTGGAAAAGATATGATAACAATAAAACTTCTTCAGATATTTGAATTAGGGTTAACTTAATTGAAGTTCAATTAAAAGCATCGAATTGTTGATATTAATACCAAATAAAACGGAGCTTTATTTTCAAAGATAAATGTCACGTATTAAGCGAAATGTCGCTTAAACGAGACGCTTAAAAGATCTTAATTGCTGTCACTCAGCGCTGGCAGACGCAACGATTTTATACGCAAAATATTAAAACCAAAGTTATTGTGAAATCAATTAAATATAATAGGTAATCTGAAACGTGCATTAATTTCTTGTATTTGGAAGAAAATGTATAAGTTATGCTAGGAATTATGGCAAACACATGTGGCATGCACATAGTGTGTTGATTCTTAAGCGAATTGCGGAAATCCCCATTATAAAGTGCAACATTTGTGATATCAAACAACGCTTCATTTCAGCGTTGTGTTGGGCGCGTTGCAAGTTTGCATGGGCCAGTGCTCGGTCCCACCTGATACACCTTCATCTAGCCTATTCCTTTCAGAGGAACCACGCCTTTCCCTTTGAACAATAAGCATTAGCTCCAAGCACTAGGTTAGTAAATTTGCCTGCTAATTTATGCCAATGATAATCTGTCTCAGGATTTTTTTTTTATTGCCTTTGTAGGCAGACGAGCATACGGCCCACCTGATGGTGAGTGGTTACCGTCACCCATCGACTTCAGCAATGCCAAAGGCAGAGCCAAGCCGCTGCCTACCGCTAAAATTCTGCTCTTCCGTCCGAGCCCCTAATAAAGTCGAATAGATTAATTAACGTATTTACTAATCAACTAATTGCACTAAAAACTATAATAACTAACCTCTCTTTTGCAAAAACTTCATTCTGCAGACGCTCGTTCGAACCTTTCAAGTCCGTCGCATTGTTACAAGACGGTTGTTTCTTGTAACGCTGTTTGATTATTACTTTTTATAGATAAGAATTATTATTCCGAATGTATTACTACTGGCTGTCACTCGTTTTATTTTATTTTATTTATTGGGTACCAACATGTTATACATCAGCACAGAACATTACATCTCGTTTATGTATTACATCTCTCAACATTACGTTTCACCTCTTTTCAACTAATAATATGACCTTGCCTGTTCTTAAATGCTTAAATGTCTTGTACAATGTACATGCCAACCAGGTAATAACCATGTTAATACCGACACATACTTATTATGTTATGAAACTGAGTTTAGAAGACGTTGCAGTCGAACAAAATTGGTGTGGCCCGTGGTCGAAGTAGATAAGTTTGCCTGGAAAAATTACGAGGATTCGCAGTCCGTCTACAAATTCCCATTTGAACGACTCGGGCTATTCTACGTAGGGATTACGTAGCGGATACCATTTAATGTGCTAGGAGAATTCATCGCAAAAAGATTAGCATAAACTGGTTAAGTCCATTGCAATTTATAAGGATTACGATGCCTCATGAGTATTCTGAGAAAATGTTTGAGATGACCCAGTTTCGGACTCGCGGCCCCTGCGACTGGACCAGAGTCCCCTCTACTGCCTGAAACCGCTTCAGTATTTCAGAGTGCGCTTCCAGAGATCGTTGTCGCCATACGGTTCTTGAATGAACTGGTGGAGGGTTCCACGGTGTTAGCCAAAGTAAAATACCGTTTTTCAACTGAATTTTGAGGAGAATCCTCTCTGATAGACAGCTTTGCTTAATTGCTGATGTCCATGAACGATGATGGTCACTCACCATCGCTGAGCCGTATATGTTTTTGTAGACAAAATAAAAAAATATTTTTCAGGAAACAAAATTATAAAATTAAATCTTCCGTAAGATTGATTCAATTATATTATAAGTAATGAATGCCACAACATTCAAAAACTGACATCATACGAGTAATGGGTGCTACAAGAGATACCAGAAAATAAAAGACAAAGGAATATAAAGTAAAACTTTATAAAATAAAAATCACAAAAACGAATAAAAACAACAAAACCAATTAAAAAAAGACGTACAAATTTTATAAACGTACTTAGAGTCTGTAATGTTTCCCTTTCATTCTTCTGGTTACTTTTCTCGATTCGTCTGTTTTATAATCGCCTTGGTCAAGTTGATTTTGAGGCCTAATCAATACGTAATTTATAAATATAATTCATTAATTAAATATAATTCATACAAGTGTATTATACTAAGACGTTAAAATAATAAATTCTATCGAAAATCATAAATAAATAAGTTATATGTAGACGCAATAAAGTATTATTATATAAATGTATAATAATATGCCCTCTGGCTAGGTGGTGCGATGACCTCAGAACGGTGACCGGCAAGAAGTGGTTGAGGAGAGCGTAGACCGGGCTCAGTGGTGTGGATTGGGAGAGACCTATGCCCAGTAGTGACGACTGTGGGCTGATGATGATGATGATGATAGTATTTCATCATAATTAAACACTATTTGTGCGTATAGATTTTTTTAATTTACGGTATAGGTAAGTAGTATCAATATGTCGATGATTCGCTATTTTATTACTGAGTACTTATCATTAGATAATATAAGCAGACGGGCTCCCCAGCGACGCGACCCCCTATACTAAGAGCTGCAGGATCCGACAGACACTTTGATGACAGTTATGAGACTGCGACTGCGTTGATAGGGCTGTCATGCCTTCAAGCGGACAGGTTATTTATGTTCTGACGCTATTGTCCCCCGCAAGTAGAATGCTTCTTGATACATTCTTGAGACAAACTTAAGATGATTTAAGAAATATAAATATAATCAATCCAAACTGTTTTGAACAAGCTGCTTTCGTGTTTCCTACATACTTAGAATGACATTGCCTAGATTAATATCCCTATCTTAAATAATTAATCTTTTTTTTTATATAGGTAAGCTACTTTTGTCGTCGGTGTTAAATCACTGAACTATTGATGAAATTCGATTTAAAGACATTCTATATTCCGGAGATTTTGCGAGAGAAGTATTTATTTCTGACGATGACAACCCACTCTATGGTAAACTATGGTAAAGTACGAGTATCAATATACACGAACCACTCCATTGTCCCGAATATGTCAGATTCCGTGACTTCGAAGAAATGTATTCCGTCGAGCGTGCAGTGGTCGAACTCGCGGAGTCGGCGCAGCACCTCCACCAGCCCGCGCACGTCCGACTCCTTGCGAGCCAGCCGACGTCTCAGGGTGGCTCGCTCGCACTGCAGCTCCGAAACGATCTGGTGCGAGAACACTCCTCAATACGAGCCTTCTTATGCGGAGCACTGCAGTCGAGTGTAAAGTGAATCCAATCCACGGACATTGAACACATATAGCTGAGTATTTATTTTCATATATCTATATATACAAGTCCTACCACCAGCAAATACGCAAATTATAATTTTGCAGGTTTGATTTTTATTACACGACTTGCTGTACCCGTCCGCTTCGCTGAGCATTTAAAACTAACATTATTATTTCTCATCCCCACAAATATTCTCATCATTAACGCCTCCGCAACTGGTGTAGGGAGACCAACACTCATATAAATATTAGCCTATCCATTAAGTACATGTATTTTCTATATGGATACCAAGTTTCAAGTCAATCGGATGTATGGTTCAGTAGTTATAACGGAACATCCGTAAAAACCACTGTAGATTTATATATTATAGTATAGATAAAGGAACAGGATGTTACGCGTTTTTTTGAGAAACACTACAAAATATAGATTTTGGTATAAATTTCCTGAAGATTCGAGCCTCTTGTATCGAATTAAAAACAAAACTGGCTTGTATGAGCATAACTCGTGCCCCGAGAGTTCCGGGACAAGCTCTTCGTGCGTTAGACTATGCAAACTAGTCGAATGATAACAACACTTAAAAATAACATAAATTATTATTTTACGTTAAATAATTTAAATACAAAATTTACAGAATAAGAATACTAGAAATATAGATTTTCCATTAATTATTCACAAATAATTATTCATTTTTATCTTAGAAATGCCTACAGCCATCAGTTTGAGGCCGAAATAATTTATTTCTCATACATTATCGAGGTGACGGTCAACTTGTGAATTACTTTATAAGGCAGGTTCTATTCGGCGAGTCGAAAATCATAAAAATACTATTTTCTAAGGACACTATTTTCAGATATTTCCCTTTACTTATACTTTCAGACTTTACCATTTTCTGTGATTTTGTGATCAAAGGGAAAAGTCCTAAGTACAGGTCTTGAGTGACAAAATGTTATGGCTCACTCGGACTACCGCAATAACGCGGACCTAACGCAATGTGTCGAATTTTTTTCTACTTGATGCCTTTAGCCATTGCCGAGAAAAAGCGTCTTAAGTTTCAAACAGACTGATGACTGCCAAAACACTGCAACTGTATAAAATACGCAGAGGTCTTGCCTCAATACAAAAAACATTCCCAATGAGTGACAGCCAGCTAATTAATAAAAAAAAGGAAACCTACTTCAACGTGTTTCCGACGTTCATACAAGAGTTTGGAAGTGGCCTCCGTCTCCAGATCCTCTACAGCCTGCACGAGCAACGTGTTCTGAGCGAGGAGGTCGCTCACCCACGACTTCAGGACGGCTACTTGCATCTAAACGCATCACACTTGCGTTAGCAGGACTTTAGCTTGATTAGATCGAAAAGGTATGTAGTATGTAGATTCCCACGGTCGGTGGATCGGCTTACAGTGGTCACTGGTTTATACACATCACAACGAGCTACCTTGAGGCGTGAGGTCTACATCTCAATTTGTTTTGTAGTATCGGCCTTACCCTTCAAGTCCTACCACTAGTAAGTGGACACAGTTAGCGGTATGTGGCACTATACACACAATAGTATATGAAGACCTCGGTAAGTGCACAGTTAGGCGGTTTTTTCCCCTACCTATGCTGATAGCTTTGAGAGGCTATTTCAGCTTTACCCTTACGTGTAGCTGAGCTCTCGAGGTTTAAGCCGGAAGTGTTGCTAACACTGGCCCTAGTAAGAGCCATCCTTTGCAGAATCTACCACCGGATTGGAAACGCGACCCACTGAGAAGATCACGGCGAGAAACTCAGTGGGCTGTGTCTATGGGTTAATTTACTCATGGAACCCTTCGTCGCAAGCGACGGGTTCAACAAGGACGGTGACCGGTGCTTGAGGTACCTAAAAGCACCTGTAATGGATCGGGAGAATCAGTAATGACGTGTTTAGGGCGACGTCGACTGTTTCAGATGAATAGACCTGTTTTTCAAGTGACGTTGTGACCTTCGTCAAGTGTTATGTCCCGGCTTTTCCTACTTAAATTTATTAGTTTAATGGCACGAGTCTCAAACTGACCTGCGTCTTATTCCCGGCCCCGGCCTCTTCGATCCGGGCCAGACGTTTTTCATAAACCACCTGAACCTCCCGGAGTATCGCGAGGGTGGAGCCTCTCTTACACTCACATACGTCACGCTCGGCATCACAATCTATTATATTTTGATTCATTGTGTAAATAAAAACACATTTGTTTTACTTTGATGAAGTTCAGTACGGTCTGATTGCACGTGTCAATTGTGATAGACGTTTGATAGACGTAACATTGCTAGGTTTGTATAATATTCTCTTTGATTAGAGAAATGTATCGATTTGATGACGAAAAGCAACCGTTTCCCATCAAAAGAGGTCTGTGTCGCCAACTCAAGGTTATTTTACAAAAAATTCAAAAATTCCCACATTCAAAGATCGCGAAAGGATCCGTCTGTAACTTTGGCTAGGAGCGCATGTTCGCGTGGTGATGTCCACGGGCTACGGCACAGCTCTAAGAATTTCGTTTACACCAATATAAAGTAGGTATGTAATAGTGAGGGTGACCGGCGGCCTCACGTGTGCTTCCCGGAGCCGCCCCGGGACACAATCATCAGCATTGACTGATCTACTACAATTGAATCGAGAAACACTCCTTTCTAAAGTGGGTATATAATGGGTACATACAATAAGTATTCACTAAAATATGAAAACAAGTAATAAGTGTTGTAACACATATATTTATAGATAACACATAACATTAAAAACAATACATATATATACAGTCAGGTTAGTGCCCGCCGCGGAGGGACCAGCACTGCAGTTCCCTAGTGTGGCGCCTGCTGGCGAGGGGCCGCACCGACACTGCAGTATGCCTAGTGCAAGCTTTTTAACGTCCTCGATAGCTTAAAAGTTTACTCAGATATGTATGCAATTGGAACGTTAGCCTACGTTTGCCGCTAGGGGCGCTGTTCCAACTGCATACAAATTTGAATTAACTCTTACGCTATCGAGAACGTTTAAAAACTCGCAGTAAATATACTGGATACGTTCGATACGTCTGAGTACGCTGAGTGCTATTACTTGATTGAATTCATTCTCAGATAACAACCGATCACACGACATTCGATCTTATTCATACTTCAATGTGAATACATTTTAGCTTACCCTTAACAAAAATAATAAAAGCATTTATTTGGGAAATGATTTCAAATATTCGAAGCGACCTATTCATTCAGCTACTATTACAATAAACACGCTTTTAGTAAAACCTAACGTTTAGTTATGAACCTTACGGCTCAGTAAATAAGGACAACACTGGTGGTGCCAGTGTGCCCGAACGGTTCTCTTACTAACAGGTGCCACTACTCAATTAACTCAGCCCTTTTACATATTTTTCTGCTAAAAATCTATTGATATATGTATCAATACATTCATTAAGCTAAATAACCTAGTTAGTATCACAATGCATATCTGACTACCGCGCCTGCCAGCACACGTGCACAGTGACGTCACTGTGCTGCCTGTGGGGACCGAGCCACGCCCACCTCCCGTAGACTAGAAGTGATCTCGCGCCGGCCGCGCCGTGTTGCTCACTAGTGGACTCAACTGTGTGAGCAGCCGCGTGTGGTGTCCGCCGCGGGAGCCCCGACACGTGGCGGCATCAGGACTGTGGGACACAGATTACTGAGGGCTCAGGTAATGACTTGCGTCTAGATATCTAGAATCCATTATTTTTTTATGTTTATGTGACAAAATTTGTGTAATGACGACAGAACAGTGTCGCTGAAGATTGAACAAGCCAAGATCATCTCACCTTATCGTTTCGTCGCACGAGTGCGCGGGCAGCAGCGCGGCTGCGTGCGGAGTCCTAGTAGAGCTGCTTGAGCTGCTCGTAGGTAATGAAGAATATGATGTTCCAGGGCCCCATCCGCAGCCACGTCGGCACGAACCCCTTGTACAGCGCGCGCGCACCCTCGCTGCGCACCGTCTGCACCACACACTACTTTATGCGACCAGTTACAGTACAATATCCGTACGCTAATTATATCTAAAGCACTCCTACTCCTACAGAGATATAGGGAACTGATTTCAATATGGACAGCTTAGTGTTGAGCTTCTTTCTGCAAAACAACACAAGTCTACATTAGACTCACCTGCAGGAGACAGTCGACGGTTCCTTTGTAAATTATTTCGTTTGTCCTTATTTGGTGATCTAAAATTTTTCTTTGGTTCATTAGCCGCGTCTGTGGAGAAATTTAAATCGAGTCATAAGAAAATGTTTATAAATATAGAAAAATGTGTGTGTGCAAGTCACACACGGTAGAAGTGAAACTTATAAAAAATAAAAATAATCGCAAGGGTCAAAACCACTCCGCAGTGCAATGGAGCAGCCTCACCCTGGGGGAACCGCCTGCGAGATCACGGTCTCCCAGCGCTAGGTAAGTATGATTTAGCTTTTTTTTTTTTTCCTACCTAAGCTGAGAGCCTTGAGAGGCTATGTCAGCGTAACCCTAACTTTTGTAGGTGAGCTCACGGGGCTCAAACCTGACGATGTTGCTAACACGAACCCTAGCAAGAGTCGTGCTTCGCAGAATCTACCACCGGATCGGAAACGCGACCCACTGAGAAGATCCGGCGAGAAACTCAGTGGGCTGTGTCTGAGAGTTAATTTACTCGTCGAGCCCTTCGTCGCAAGCGACGGGTTCGACGANAGGTGAGCTCACGGGGCTCAAACCTGACGATGTTGCTAACACGAACCCTAGCAAGAGTCGTGCTTCGCAGAATCTACCACCGGATCGGAAACGCGACCCACTGAGAAGATCCGGCGAGAAACTCAGTGGGCTGTGTCTGAGAGTTAATTTACTCGTCGAGCCCTTCGTCGCAAGCGACGGGTTCGACGAGAACGGTGACCGGTGATTTAGCAAGAGAAATACGAGAACGTCTATCAACTGTGTAACATCTCGTCACCGCGATTCAGGAGTTGTTGAATTTACGTGCAGCGACATCTGTTGATAACAAACTAAATAAAAATAAAAGTATCTCAGGACGCTCCGAGAGCCACGACAGCGCTTCGTGATTTGTCGGCGCCGCTCGGAGCAGCTTCGGCAAGCCAATCGCGGCACACTTATTTTTTCGTTTCGTTTCATTTCGTTTCATCGAGTTTGAAATCACATCACAACGATTGTAAAGAAGTTTCACTTAAAAAAATATAAAGTTTTATGTGAGTAGTGTGTCGGATGGCCCTAGTGGTATGTACCCGCAAGACGTCTAGCGGCGTGCTGGCCACGGCGCTGCCCAGCGAGGCGAGCAGGCTGGACAGCAGGTGGTTGGGCGGCGAGTCTCCGAGCGGGCCCAGCAGGCGGCGCTTGGCGGCGTCGTACACGGGCAGCTCCACGGCCGCGATGACGGCGGCGCGCTGCGACGTGGGCCCCACGCCGCGCCACAGCCCGCCGCGACCCTCCGTGCGGTATATGTCCAGGAAGCAACGCACCAGGTTGCGCTTCTCCTCGCCCATCTGCGCGACAACACCACTTGTAACCACTTCACTCCGTCTCAACATTACCACATAAAATAACATTTGTATTTTAATGAACGTAAAATGTGACGAGACCTCGCGATCTACCTAATGACGACCAGTTACCGGGACCCATTGAAGTCACAATGAGGGACAATAAAACGTTGAGTTGTATTCTTAGTTTTCAAAGACTTCAGAACTCTGGCAATAACGTGCATTGTTTGCCTCGCAGCAGAAACAATCAGAACTGTTTTGGCAGTTCAAAATATGGGAAATACTGCTTGCTAGACGATGGTGAGAAATAGCATTATAAGATAAATTAGTAAGTTAGGTTTGGGTAATCTACGATGTGTCGGAGGCCTACCTGCATCCGCACTTTTAGTACGTCGGTAGGGTTGGCAATAGCACTGGACAGTCCACCCGCAAAGGCAGCACAGAAAGTGTTCGTAGGGAGGTGCTCCTTCGTTCCACCGTCCGCTCGTCTCTTGGCGAGCGCGTTCTTCAGCGTATAGTAGGTACCAAACTTAATCGTGCCATACGTCGCTTGTCGCAGCACCGCCGGCCAAATGCTGTTCGTATAACATTACTAATAAAGCAATCAGTTTTATTCGGCTCTCCGTAAACGGACTAAGATTTTAAATGCGCCACCCACCTTGAGATATAAGTTCTAAGGTCTCAGTTTAGTTACAACGGCTACCCCACCCTTCAAACCGAAACGCATTACTGCTTCACGGCAGAAATAGGCAGGGTGGTGGTACCTACCCGCGCGGACTCTCAAGAGGTCCTACCACCAGTAATCAAGAGGTCCTACCACCAGTAATCAAGAGGTCCTACCACCAGTAATCAAGAGGTCCTACCACCAGTAAGATTAGACTTATGGTGCTCCATACAAGCTGTTACGATTTCTGCCCGAAAGAAATGCATCGTTGTTTGTTGAAGAGCAAATCCAATGCAAACGAGTTTTATAACCACCATAATAGATCTGAACGCACAATATCGAGAAAATGTCATTGTTCTATTTCATAGTGAAATGTAAACATGTATTTAGGTCTAACAATAACTTTGGCATAGAGCCAATGAGAAGAAAGCGTTTACTAGGAAATTGTATTGTAGGACACAATGTCGCTTGAAAAGCACGTGTTTGCTTTTTACGCGCGCTATGACATGCCCTTCTTCAAACGAGGCCTGCAGAGAGTATTTAGTGTTAGACAGCAAGTTGGCTCTGCCCCTGATATTGCTGACGTCCGTGAGCGACCGTCACCACCCACCATCAGGGGTACCGTAACTCGTCTACCTACAAGGGCAATAAAAAAATATAACCCCATAGTCATTGCCAAATCCGATGACTAAATATCTATTGTCGGCACTGAGAAAAACCCAGTTGAAGTCCGTTTCTTTGGTAAAATGATTTGGTGTTTAGGATCTGGGTGTACAAATCCTTGTCTTGAAGGTGTGTTTCTAGCAATCATGCAATGTAGAAATTCTTAACTTGGGACCCCTGTATGTTTTTAACTAACATTGATTGCAAATCAGCATATGGTACCGTTTTGTGTCAATATTCATTTTTATAGTTCACTGTGCATCAGAAACAGTGGTACAAGCCCATTCTTGACGCTAAAAGTTTCTTATTCAGTATAGCAAACAATATTTCTCTATGCAAAGGTCAGATTTCAACAAGCAGCTCTTTTTATTGATAAGCTTTATAACCCATGTGTCGATAATAGATAGTCCTTACTGCCACAAGAAGGTTAGAAGATTACAAAGATGTTACAACATAAATATGTGTATAAAATATTCATTGTCTGCTGATAACAAATCTGTTATCATTACTTGTTATGACTGAACTTTATCAATATAAAAACATTTACATCATAACAGTGGATTTTTGATAAATACAACTTGGAGACAATCTTCCAATTACAACTAAATGAAAAAAAAAAAAATTATAATTAAAATTATTCAAAAAGTTATAAGATAATTTGATAGGTAAAATATCGAGTGAACTATTTAATCATGCAACTAACCTAAGATTCAAACAGTAAGCAAAACTTTTCTCTATAAATGGTTAAGATTTGGACATGTCGTCTTTGACTTGGAATAGCATCACCCCTACTTCCCAGAGACAGCACCATTCATGTCCAATGTTCAGAAATAAAGGTTTCCATTGTTTCTATTCAAACTTACCCACAATATAAAGCCTTGACACCCTCTTGCTTGGAAGTTTTGATGATGCAGTCCACCATCCCAGTATACCGTAGTTCAACATGACGAGGATCTATCTTCTGTCCTTGGATTTGAAGACGAGTTTTGGTTGTATCGATAGGGAATGTGCCTAGAAATAAATTAACGATTGTCAATTCTTTATTCCATTTTGTTTTATAATTTCTAGCAGTGCACATGTGTATTGTATTTTAGAGGATTGGGTTATACACTAATATGTACTAGCCAGACTTGGCCTAGCCTGCTCTTTGTGTTAATTATATATTAGTAAAACACTTTACACTTCTAAGTAGTATAGCCAATCTTGTAAAAAAACTAAGAGACAATCTTCATATCTCAAAGTAGACATTAAAATTATAAGGTACCAGTCTCAATTGTATTTCTTAAGCTATCCAGTGGTCATATGAAAGGGACTGTGAAAAGCTAAGTGGAAATTAATGATTATTGTGCTATCATTTGGTCAAGGTATTTAATCCATATTAAGAGGTTATAATTCTTTTTATATTTTTCTAAACATGCTTACCGAATTCTGCAACTATGGACGCTAATCCACCGTAAATAAACGGTCGCCAATTACGTTCTCCCATTACACGAGAAATACAATGTCACAATTAAATATTATTTAACACCGGCTGAGCTTTTATTATCAGTAAATTAATTAGATTTAACGCATTATGTCAGATAACTCTTACACTGTTCGAATTATCGTATTTTTTTCACATACAAATGTTATTGGTATTTAATAAAACATTAAATAACAAAACTAAAAGATTTTCCATACAAAACTAAATATCTTGCCTCACTGCCTCTCAAATATATTAAGTGTATAATCTATGATATGTACCTATTATGTGTATAATCTATGCTGCCTCATACACGACACGATCTTCTGACTTTTTGGCGGAAACGCGAGGAGTGAAGTTGTGTGATTTGTTTTATTTTGTCTATTTAGTGTTTCTTCGGGTTTAAATATGTAATAATGGTGGTTTATTAACTGTCTGTGAAAGTGTACAAATGTAGGAAAATGAAACAAAGCCGCTGGACGTAACTTCTCGGGATCCTCCAAAAAGTCCACTAAAAGATCTTAGTAAATGACCACCATTTTACTGAGATTATATTTCATCCCATATCATCTCATTTCATTTCATTTAATTTCATCCCAATTAATTAATGTCTCAAATCATCTCCATTTCATTTCACTCCATAATATCATTTTTCATAAAAATATGAATATAAATTAAAATAAGACATGACTTAAAGATCTCAGTTACCAGGTCATAAAATTCCTTTAAAAAAACCACGCCCTTCTTGGACTTTTTGGCGGGAACGCGAGAAGTGAAGTTGTGTGATTTGTTTTATTTTGTTTAATTAGTGTTTCTTCAGGTTTAAATGTGTAATAACGGTGGTTTATTAACTATTTAATATCTGTGAAAGTGCACAAATGTGGGAAAATGAAACAAAGCCGCTGGACGTAACTTCTCGGGATCCTCCAAAAAGTCCACTGAAAAAATCTCAGTAAATGACCACCATTTTACTAAGATTATAATAATATTTCATCCCATATCGTCTCATCTCATTTCATTTAATTTCATCCCCGTTGATTAATGTCTCAAATTAATCAATTTCATTTCATTTCACTCCATATTATCATTTTTCATAAAAATATGAATATAAATTAAATTTAATTAAAATAAGACATGGCTTAAAGGTCTTAGTCATTAAAGCTCTTAAAAAAAAAGACACGACCTTCTTCATATTTATTTTTTGGCTCCGGCACGGTTTGTGCATTAGCCAGCGTCAAGTAATAAGATTTTTATTATTGGTTGTTTTAATTATTTACAGTTTTTGAATAACAAAAAACGAAGGAAACGAATCGCGACATAATGTAAATGATTAAAAACGAATTAACTTTACAAATGATATGATAAAATTGTGGTAATTTACTGATATTTTTTCAGTCGATTTTTGGAGGATCCCTTTTTGGATATAATTTCGTCTAATTCTTCACTTCATTTCATTTAATTGAAGTTGATTAATGTCTCAAATTAATCATCTTCATTTCATTTCACTCCATATTGTCATTCTTCATAAAATTAAGACTATTATAATTAAAATAAGACATGACTTAATAGTCTTAGTTACCAGGTTATAAAATCCCCTAAAAAAATCTCTATTGTTTATCTAAACTATTTACCTTTAAAAATTTTGCCTTTAAAAAAGTTGCTATTATTACAAAATTACCTTACACGTTACACAACTTTTCTAATTAGTCCAAAGCAATAAAGTAAGTAATGATATTATGGAGTGAAATGGAATTTAAGCATGCACGCTTAATTTTAATCATAATCAAATAAAATTGTTAATTTTCAATAGATTCAATGTAACAATAAACCCTGTAGTAGTGCACATATTTAGGAATCGACGAAAGCAATGTTTATCTAGTGTTTTGCAGTACAGCAATTCTATTAATTGTGTCTTAGCAGTCGTCGAGGCTTAAAAGATAAGAGGCCTTGTGCACTCATATCGAGCTATATAATTGTGGCAGTGATCGAATCTCACAAGAAGGTATCAATTTTTCTAATGAAATACGTACCTACTTTAAAAATGTTGACGAATGACTTCCACGGTGAAGGAGCCCATATGTATACAGCCCACTTTTTTCGCCCGATCTTCTCAGTGGGTCGCGATTCTAATGCGGTGGTAGATTCTTTGAAGCACTGCTCTTGCTAGGGAAGAGCACCTAGGCTCCCAGCGAACAGGTAGAGGAAAAAAGTTGAAAGAATAACATCCTGCAAGCTGTGAGCTCATCCACCCAGCTGAGCAATAAAAAAAAAAAGAGTTGGCAAGTTAATGTAACAGCGTTCCCAGTAACGTGAAAATTATTTTTCAAATTCTATGCTTTTAAGGAGAAGATGTTTGATAATTTCCACAACAATCAGACTGTGGCACAAGAGCCCCCACCTCCTAAGAAAGTGCTTAGATGTGACAAGAGCTATGTCACAACTATACCAGGAATCCTGAAAGTTGTTCAAGTGGTAAGATACTAATATCAACTGCTGATTTAGACTTTTTATTACTAAATAAATTGTTTTGAATTACATTCATATATGTTGAAAAAGATAATTGAGAAAGAGCTTATTGTGAATCTGTACTGGTAATTTAAATATCCTGTCTACTTCTCCTGTGAAGCAAGTTGCATTGTAGTTTGAAGGGGGAACCGTTTCTACGCAGTACAATTGGAACTGACTTTTGGCATTTACATTGTGATGTGTACCAGTAACCATTTCATACTAGTTGAGATGAGACCACATTAGTCCTGGATGGGCGAATTCGAATCTTGTACTGGTGGTAGGACCTCTTGTGAGTCCGCGTGGGTAGGTATCACCGCCCTGCCTATTTCTGCCGAAGCAGTAATGTGTTTCGTTGAAGGATGGGGCAGCCGTTGTAACTATACTTCAGACCTTACAACTTATATCTCAAGGTGGGTGGCGACTAAGCAATAAAAAAATAATGGACTGCTGCTATAACGCTTTGTCTATGAGCACCAAAATACGCTTCAAGTCCACAAGCTTGGGCTCCAGTAACCACTTAACACCAGGTGGGCTGTGAGCTAGTCCACCCATCTAGCAATAAAAAAATAATTAAACTCATACTAACTTCCATAATCATTAAATAATTCAAATATTATCTGATATGTTAATGTCAGCTGATTGAATGCTTTCAGTGCTGCAACATAATAGGCTTCATCTGTATCAAAGTGAGCTGGTCATGGGTATCGGCAATATTCTACAACATAGTATACTGGATTGGAAACATTCTGACTATTCTACTTCTTCTCGCATACACTTGTCATTTTGTTGAGAAGTATGACCACTGGCCTTGGTTCAAATATGAGTTCTTCTACTGCAGTATTATGGCCTTAGCTTATGTTGTGTGTTCAATATTTGCTGCTACCATTGGGGAAAGTGTTGGATATGCTGTTGTTGTGAGTATGTTTGAGTAATTATCTGAGATAGAGATTTTTATTTACATATTTTTGCTTCTTTACTTTGAATTTTAATAATCATTTAGCGGGTATAGTAAACCAGCAGTAGAAAAAGCTGTGGGAGTACCCATAGCTTCACACTTATTCTGATAGCCCTGTGCTTCATTTTGCCTAGACTATTAAGGTAAACTCTATCACCTTAACAAGTCAGTCCAAGTAAAACAAATTTTTATCAATGTACCTATTTAAAAAAACAATTTATTATATGAATACCACATACCATAGACAATTAAAGTGAAATGAAATATATGGGAGGCCTGTTCCATCTTAGCACAGCAATTATGTGCAACAACCTTTAATTTATGTGAACTAATTTGGAGTGTGAAGTTGTGGAAGTGTACCTATGTGCCATATTTGTCCTAAAACAGTCCTATAAGTGCCAGAAAAAATACAAGCCCAAGTTTTGTGCAAATTTTGATTGATGAAACTGCAAGTTTTGAATGGGTTGTGTAAAATCTCAACATTTTAAAACAACCTGTGTAAACCTATGTAATTCCCAAAGCAAAAAAAATGATGCTAATATACCACCTAATAAATCTGCAATATAATATGAAGAATGCATGAGATGGAGTAGTGTTCTCACATCAATTGATGTTTGATTGTAAAAACATTGCAGATGTCTTATGTTTTATGGAGCTAATTTCAAACATTCCCCTTTACAGTTCTTTGGATTGGTGGCAACCTGTGCCTATGGATTTGATGCTTACCAAAAATACAAAGGATGGAACAGGGGTCTGCCACCACAATGAAAATTTAAAGACTGCAAATAACTGACTGACTACTTTAGCAAACATACACAATGCAAAATGAGGATTACAATACACACATTGTGTATTAATTATCATTCTGCTAGTGTTGTGTTTGGGTGGTTTTTTTTTGACTTTATAATTACTAATTTATTTAAAAAACTTAAGATAAATAACCAAGTTATTTAATTACTTGAGATTATCTTATACATTCTTAAAGTTGGGGTTAAATTATAACAATAAGGTGTTATTATTAAAGTTAACATTATTAGAGCTTATTCAATATTGGTGCTCTATTTTGAGAGTTTTAAAATTAAAGCTTAAATCTAAGTAAAACGTGCCTTAATGTTAAAGGAGCATTTTATTCACCTAATTATTAAATTATTTGATTATTTGTGGTCATCACATGTCCTAGGTAATATCTAAACCTATACTAGTAATTGTTGTTGTTGTTGTTTTAGTAATCTTAGGGTATCCCGCTGGTACATCAAGCCCTCAAAAGTTGTCTCCGCTTGACCCTGTCTTGCACTTGAATTAATATATAATTGAACCTATAATTGATAATATGTAATACACAATATAGAAGTTTTTACAGCATATTCCTATACTATATACCAGTGTTTAATAATCGTGTAAGTAACTTTTTTTTCTGAAAAAGTTTTTTTTTCCTAAAATTCTATCACTAATGTGAACAAAGAACAAAATTTGAATTATGTTGAAGTTATATTTGGAAAACTTTAACAGATTACCGTCTCAACAAGCTCACCACATCGACATTGTGTGTCATATTAATAGAAGTCGACAGGGGTGGACGTGCATACCCTAGTACCAGATCTGTAGAGATCACAGCTTTTGGATTGTTTGCTTAATTTAAAATTTTCAAGTTCTGAACTATTACACAATGTTTTGTTTTTTTTCTAGGTTTATTTAGTTGTGTACGTATTTTAATGATATACATCACTGGCAGTTTTAAGTCATAAAAACTAAGAGAATATCTTATCATTTTCATGTATTGTATTATCGGAGGGAACTGGGTTGGTTTTTGTTTACCCATTTTTAATATACCATTTGGATGTGTTGTATTGTAAGTTTCCCAAATAAATGTTTTGAAGAAATCAAGTCGAATTGGGAAACTTGTCGTAGGTGGTATGGTCAGCAGTAGGTATCCACCTATTTCTGTCGCCAAGCAGTCATACGATTCGTTTTGTACAGCCCATAAACAAGCTGTACAATTGCCTTATACAGTTGAACCTTCGACCTTCACGTGCCAAGGAACCCTCACTCGCCTCCACTAACACCTCCTTCGCCCATCTAAGCAAAAGTTTCTCTTTTTTCAGTTGCATAAGAGTTTTTAGCGTCTAGAGACTATTTACGATGCCTCCAATGAATACTACGCTAACTCCAAATTCGTAGATTTACAGGAGGAGCGTTTAAACGAAAAAAGTAGATAAAATCTTTGTTAATGCAGATATATTTATGGTTTTTTTGTGTAACTAGCTGATTTACTCTTGCTTCGAACCCCACAATAATGATTAATTGTAATACTTTTAACATAGTGAAGCGATTTGCGTGAAAAACGAAAATTTCAAAATTTTGAGTTATAGTGTTCATTGGAGGCATCGATTTGAGACTAACATAAAAAACTCGGAAAATAACGCTAGACGACTGTATGGTTAGTTTGTGCGTTAGGGTGTGTTTTAATAAATTAATTATAAACTTTACAAGTTGTTAGATTACCTATAAATTATAATAGAAGCTGTTGAAAATATGGGTCCAAAAATATCATATATCATTATGTAATGGTTTGTAACATTTTTAATATTGTTTTTATGTATTTTAATATTAGTACTAAGAATAATATTTAAAAGTAATAAGATATATTTGTGACTGATGTTTTTAAAATAATAAAGTTATTTTATTCAACAAATTGGATATTTTACTATATGTAGTACCTAGCCATTGTAACCCCAAACTTTTTTATATTTAAAGTAAAATAACATGTTTAGCCTCCATCATCAACATGGATCAATTACCTACATATTAGGTAATATACGAATTACGAATGATGCATGTTGTAGCAAGCTCTTCTCTCCAACACAAACAGGCGATTAAAACAGTACTAATTCATTTCGAAAGGTTTTTATTCATTTCATAACAATATTGCAACTAATGTTAAAATGTAATGTTAATAATGTTACAACAAATCAAATATTTTTTTGAAGTGAAACTTCTAACTTCTAATGCTTCCTAACCTTCTAATCCAACAAGGTTGCGTTTTAAACGTGTAACGCTACCATGGAATAGAAAGAGACAGAGCGAGAGTGAATGCGTGGCACTCGAACACATGCGCATAGTGTATGTTACAGGCCAGCGCGAGCGTTAGCAACGAGTAGTGTCCAATATTTCAAAATGAAGTACCGGTAAAATGGGGCGATTAGGGATTGAGATGCGAATCGGGAAAAAACCGGGAAAATCTTTCGACGCTCAATATAAGTTTTATATTCGTTGCAAAATCTTTCATTTTTTGTAGTTTAATAGTAGAATGTTGAAAGTTCACAAAACAACTCTGAATATGCATGATATAGCTGCTAACTTATAAAAAATCGCGTTTCAAATTAACTTCCTGTGGTGGTAATTATTTTAGTGCTAGAAACTTTGCTCTCTTTTATTTATTTGATAATAATAGAAGACGACTATGATTTATAAACGTTATTTAGTGTTTGAACCAGCATATATATTAAAGGTAAGTCTCAGTTGTTATTGGTTTTAATGTATTTGATTAAATAAAAATACATGTAAAAATCTGTTGTTTTTGGGGATATTGGGGACGTCTTAGGTAAAAATAACAACGAAAAAGGGGTTAATTGGGATGAGAATACGTGAAATGGAAACGACCTAAGTATAAATAGGTACAGGTTTGTAGGGTTGTATATGTAGTTATAACAATATTTTTTAAATTTGTTGGTAAAAATCTGGTTTATTCGAAGCGAAATTGGGAATAAGTCTTTAGTTGAAATAATAAGCAATTTAATATAAGTAAGAGACATATAACAAGATCAATGAAATCTCAAGGTGGACAAAAATGTCTAAGTAATACATAATAAAATATTTAATATTTGTTCAGAGTGGGGGTATTCATCTGATTAATCCATGGAATAACCGACACACCTAATCTCTTAACCCAGATAGAAATATCAGCACTGTCGATTGCACCTATAATTGAGGTGATGTCTGCCATGTACTTTTGTCAGTTTTTCAATTTTTTTTATTGATGATCACTTTGTTGGTGCAACTAAATAAATAAATAAATTAAAACTATATATAAAAATAAAAGTAGTGCCAACCCTAGCAAATTTCTCATTTCGTCCCAATTAACCGCAATTTTCGGGTAAATAGGGATTACACCTATTTTTGCATTTTTTGCTTAAACTGGAATGCTAGTTGCATAATTTTAAATTAGACAACAAAGATGCCCCCAAGACTCAATCATTTTGATCCTGATATAGCATTATATACATCAACAACAACCTTATAATTGGTCATAAAGTTGGAATTTGTCCCTAATCGCCCCATTTTACGGTACATATTTAAAAATATATATTATATATTTATTTATTTTTCTATATATAAGTTAAAACATAATATACCTATAATATAAATGTTGAAGATGTCTCATCTTTTATACACAGCATTCCCTAACACAAAAGCAATCTGATTTAAGGATGAAAAATGAAGAAAACCATAATACTACGAATCAAAAAAGAAGTTTCACTTCATTCACGTCCACCAAGGTTTTTTCTACCTATTCGCTAGTAGCCTAAGAGGTTATTCCAGCTACGCCCGGACGGGTAGGTGAGTTCACGGGCTCAACCTGAGAGAATTTGCTAACGCTAACCCTAGCAAGAGCAGTGCTACGCAGAATCTACCATCGGATCGGAATCGCGACCCACTGAGAAAACTCAGTTTGCTGTGTCTATGGGTTAATTCGCTCGTCGAACTCTTCGTCGTAATCGACAAGTTCGACGAGGGCGGTGGCCAGTGCTTGAGGGTTCTAAAAGCACCGAGGGTGAATCCGTGGGATCCGACAAGACATGTTTCGGTTTTGCGTTGCTCCGTCGCGGTCGGATAAGTAATTAGCGGCGGCCACGATAAGATATGGTTTTCTACACTTGCATGTACATGAAGGAACGTATTCAAGTTTTGTGGTGTCATTTTGTTATGAAGGGACAATTTACTTCGCTTACAGATCACGGGGTAGTAGAGTCGACCTAGTAGTAAGTACTAGGAAGGACCTAGTAGAGTCGGTCGCGTACTGACTTAACAGCCTGGCCACGGGACATTCGCCGATACGAATATTCGCGCGGTGCGAACGGCGAAGCGTCTAGCGACTAAAATAAGCGCATAGAAATGTACCTAACAAGCCACGCGCACCGGCGACCGGCGAAGCGACCGGCGAAATGTACCGAGCGAATCGCGCGATGCGGCGGGCGAGCAAAACAAATGCATGAATACGGACGGCGCGAGCCACGGAGTCGAGCGGTAGTCGCGGCGAATAGTGCAGTGATTAAATGAGTTTAGTTGTTTTCGCCGCGAAAAATTAACGCCGAAATTTTTATATTTTTTATTTATTTTTTATTTTATATTTTTAAAGTCGTCGTGGCCTAACGGACGTCCGGTGCAATCGTGTTGAGCGATGCACCGGTGTTCGAATATCAGGCGGGTACCAATTTTTGTAATGAAATACGTACTCAACAACACTCAACGTTCACGATTGATTTCCACGGTGAAGGAATAACATCGTGTGATAAAAATGAAATCTTCAAAATAATAATTTGCGTAATTACTGGTGGTAGGACCTCTTGTGAGTCTACACGGGTGGGTACTACCACCCTGCCTATTTCTGCCGTGAAGTAGTAATGCGTTTCGGTTTGAAGGGTGAGGCAGCCATTATAACTATACTTGAGACCTTAGAACTTATATCTCAAGGTGGGTGGCGCATTTACGTTGTGGATGTCTATGGGCTCCAGTAACCACTTAACACAAGGTGGGCTGTGAGCTCGTCCACCCATCTAAGCAATAAAAAAATAAAATAGCTGAAATACTAGCTAGACCAGCTATTTGGAAGTCTAGCCACCCAAAGTATTTCTCGTACTTCTTGTGGAATTCTCCATCTATAGGTATACTCCGATTCTTATTCAAATCATGTACTTCACAATCTTTTCCAAATAATAGGTCCTGAACCAAAAAACTATTAATTTGTAAGCAATATCGAGATAATTTCGATATAGACATTTCGCTGTCGGACTTCCTTACTAGTCGCGGCGGCGAACGTGAGTACCCGTGGCCTGCAAACGGTGCTGCGCGAATGGTCGCCTCGTCCACCGCTTCGCTGTTCGCACCGCCGATCCCCGTGGCCAGGCCGTAATGTGGGACCAGAATGTCATTTCCCTGTCGACAATGACGACTAAGTACTAAGCCTTCGAAGCCCACGGTATGGGCTGGTCAAAGATTTTAATGGCGGAAATTGAGTTACTGCGCCTAATTGGTGACGAGATACTAACAAAAGGAAACAAATCTATGTTTGACAGCATCCAAAAAACTTGGTCGATAGTTGTTAAGTATCCATACGACCGTCTTTCCGGCCATCGGCGCCGTGCAGACTGCGGTTCGCTCGACGTTCTCATTGCGTTAAAAAACGGTGACAAGGTCGTCTCCTACGTGTCTTGCGTATTTAAAATATTATGAGACATCGCCCAAGCCAGTCGAACAACTTCCCATGTACCTATTTGAAAATCTCATAAGTTTATGTTCATGAATATGGGTTCTATGTTAATTGTCATTTCAAGAGCAAATCGAACAAACGATATATAGGACAGGTATTTTAATCAGCTATTCAATTTATCTGGTTACCAAAGGAAATAGATTACCTACTTCTTGTTATTGGAAGACAGCAACAGCCCAGCCCCGACCATTCGACGTGACATGATGACGGAACGTCTCCTTTTAGATTTAAAGGTTACAAAAAGACAATCGATAGGCAACGTGCTTTATTAAGAATATAATTTTATACAATTTGGAATGTTATTTACACGGCTTTAACACAATTACAAGATATTTAATGACGATATGAATTAGGAAAGGGCGGGTACGTCTAACTGATTTTATTTTAAATTATTACAGAACGTCGGTCGCAACTCTTGTAACAAATTACTGATTATTTCCAAATTATTTGTGTCAATTCATTATTATTACACAAATACATAATTATTTTAGTAACAGAATAATACCCAAGCCAAGTCCCTTTGCTCGAAGCGAGAGATGCGGTCGAGACGACAGCAAAACGTGCTTTGTGCAGTCTAATAAACATAATCAACAATTTCAGACACATGTTCATTTCAAATATATATTATAACATTATATACAGAATAATAAAACTTAGAATTATATCACAAAGAAGCGACAAATCAGACGGTCCCGTGCCATTCGAGTCCACGTGACGGTGAGTTCTTTCTGGATTGCGGTTCCCGGCACAAACACCGCCACTCGAGCTAATTCTACGTCACTAACTAATACTTAAAACTTAAAGTTTAAAACTAATCTTTGATTACATCGTCATAAGTAAAGGCCGTTTTGTTAATCACAAATTTCTAACATATAATAAATAAATAACTAAACAACTAATAATGTCAATATATTACAGATAAATTATCATACATGAGCACTCGTAAAAATATTGGGACGTGTAAGTTTTGGCACGCGTATTACCTCAGAGCAATTACAACACTGGTTTCACTATTTTTAATAATTACCTCCCGAGTAACAGTTATAACTGTGTCAATAGTACTCATAGTACTCAGCGCCCCTCCTCCCGTGGGGGTGGCTTGGCGCCAACTGTCGCACGCTTTCTACTTGGTATGTGCCATTTAATCTAAATAAAATTTAGTAAATTTGAATTTTCGTGAGCATTATATTAACGAATCACATTCTGATGTTTGGCAACGTAGTTTCAGGTGTAAATTACGAATGAAAAAATTAAAAATATAATGGCATCCACATAAATAAGTCATAGCACCAAAGTAAAATTATCTATTTAATCATTTATCATAAACTTGACAAAATTTTAACGAGACCTAAATGTGTTAATAACTTAGGTTCTAAAGATACGCCGCGAGTATCAGTCAAGCTTCAGGTGGCGTCCTGCCTACTCGCGGTACCTGCCTACATCGCTAACGGCTCGTGGCAGGTGCTTACTCTCGCTCTTGGACATCAACATTGTTAAGGTCACAAGCAAGCCGCTCCTGCCGTAGCAATTGTACAAATAACCGTATTTAATTGTAAATTGTAATAGACTTCCAATCATTTGAATAAACCGCGATCAGATATGACTTCAGTTTGTGAGCGAAACGTTGTTAAGCGTCGGTAGGTAGGTACATAATGTTCGTGCTGTGGATGATGAAAATTGCATTAACACGTGAGTGGGGGCGGGTGACGTCACAGGTTACATTCAACTACCGCTGGTACCGCAGGAATACAATCAGTGGTTGCGTTGATCGTTCCTAGATTATTTAGTTAACGGCGCGGTGAGTGGTTCCAGCTTTAATTACAAATTATAAATAGATGTCAGTTGACGATGAGAACGTAAAACAGTGTGCTTAGTGCGATTGTTTTAACGTTCTCGATAGCGTAAAAGTTAACTAAAATTTGTATGGAGTTGGATCGTTTGCTTATGTTTGCCACTACCGCTGTTCCAACTCCATACAAATTTGAGTTAACTCTTACACGATCGAGAAGTTAAAAAACTCGTAATAAGCACACTGCTCCCCGTTCCCAAGGTGAAAAAAACCGTTCCAGTGTTGTTTCTATAGAAGCGAATCAACGTGTTTTTCACTACAGTAATTTCATTTGGCAACGAATGACGTCACAATTCGGAATTTCGACAACGTCGTTGTTTTAGAACTTTTTTCGAACGAATACTTTAAATACTGAAAGGCTTTAATTCATTTTACAAATCATCTTCAAGATATTACAATTTAATCTCGCCTTTTCATTTTGTTTTTCAACAATTTCCAATGTTTCCAATAAATATTATAATTTTTCACGGCGAAAGACGCCTGACTGGCGATTGAGCCGTAAAAGTGTTTGAACTATGAAAATTGTGATGAATATTTGGTGGTACATATTTTAGGTACTAATGGTATGCACATTTAAGTCTTAAAACAATAATTATATCGATATTGATCGGTACAGGGTCTCACGGCATGGCCGGTGGTGTGGCGATGTGAGTGTGAGCCTCTTTGGCCACGACCTTGCGTCCCTGCGCCAGTTCGCCTGCCTTTATCGCGTTGAACTTTATAAAGGCGTCGCTCCCGAAAAGCACCATAGTCAGGTAGCCGAAAAACTGAAAACGATAACTTTTATTAACTTTCAAATGAGTTTTGAAAACGATATCGGTAATTACTGACCATCAGGTAACCGTGCTCTGTGTGCTTAGTGCGAGTTTCTTAACGTTCTCGATAGCGTAAAAGTTAACCCAATTTTGTATGCAGTTGGAACAGCGCCCCTAGCGGCAAACGTACGCAAATTATCCAATTCCATACAAATATGAGCTAACTTTTACGCTATCGAGAACGTTAAAAAACTCGCACTAAGCACTCTGGTCTGCTTATTGTGATAATAACAAATTAGTTTACTTGCGTCAATTGGGGGATAATCTCAGGATCGGTCTAATGTCGAGCGGTGAGACACATCAAGCAAAAGCTTAAAAGAACACGATTGTAATCGGGTACACGGTAACCTTTACCAAGAATCGAAAAAATTATTGATACATTTTCGATTAATTCTCTAAATGGTTTCATTAATTTTATGTTAAGCGATATCGAAGACTACGGTTTTCTCAAAGTGTCGGTAATTATAACGTAAACGCTTTTACATACTTGACGAAATTTTAAATACAATATAATAATAATAATAATAAGCCATTTATTTCTTGCTTTACAAAAGTAAAAAAAAATTATAATAAATATAAATGTATGTATTAGTATTTAGGATGTAAAAGAGTTTTGTAATGAATCAGTAAAATTTTGTTAGCAAGAACCCCGTATCGGGTAAAGGCCTCCTCCAAAGATGCCCAAGCGTCTCTATCCTGTGCTACGTCTATCCAGTTTGGGCCAGCTGTTCGTCTAAGATCGTCTTCCGAAATACAATATATACTATTAGAGGCGACTCCCTCTTAAGTCAAAGTCTATGGGCGGAGCCATTGACGACGAGCACTCACGTGGACTCGTGACGTCATCTGGAGGGGCAACCGACCGACCAGCGGGGACATCACGCCACCTCGGATCACTTTTGCTGGAAGCGCGCGCAGCGTTCACTTGTCTTAGATTTAATATTCTGTGTCGATCGTTCCTACCCACTTTTGTNCGAGCACTCACGTGGACTCGTGACGTCATCTGGAGGGGCAACCGACCGACCAGCGGGGACATCACGCCACCTCGGATCACTTTTGCTGGAAGCGCGCGCAGCGTTCACTTGTCTTAGATTTAATATTCTGTGTCGATCGTTCCTACCCACTTTTGTATTTTTTTATTTATTTAAATTATTAAGCCGTTGCTAAAAATACAACAATAAAAATGTCCCTTATTTATCGGAGACAATAGGGTTACTAATGACTAAAACGCTGCTCATTGTGCTAAAAAACAAATCGAAGACCTACCGCTTTTTAAACAGCATCTCAATCATGAGGAAAAATAGTTACAAAAATTAGATATATTATGGTGTCTACAGGCATTAAGGAAACATGATTATTATAGAGCGACATAGTTATCGCCCGGCACGCTGTGAGCCTTTTATTGTAAATGTATAAGTAAGTAGGTCAACTCTGAATCTGGTACCATTTATTATTTTTTTATGCATAGGCGGGTGAATGTTCTCAAGTATCGCCTGATGTTAAATGATGTATTCTACCATTAAGCTGGGGTTGAAGTCTCAATGTTGTACACTCTGTACAGCGGCTGTCCTACTCTACTTTCTACTGGTTCGACTGGTAGTAGGACCTCTTGTGAGTCCGCGCGGGTGGTACCACCGCCCTGCCTATTTCTGCCGTGAAGCAGTAATGCGTTCCGATTTGAAGGGCGGGGCAGTCGTTCTAACTATACTTGAGACCTTAGAACTTATATCTCTAGGTGGGTGGCGCATTAATGTTGTGGATGAGGTGGGCTGTGAGCTCGTCCACATACCTAAGCAAAAAAAAAAAAATAACTCTTCGAACCTGAACGCTGAATACTTCGCAGCAGACATAGGGCACCTGGATGGTAACCACCCTGGCGGGCTCACAATAACTGAGTAACAATAGTCACTCATAATTTTATATATTTCTGAAGGAGTGTGTGGATAGGCAACACTGGCCTCACCCTTTTGGGAATTGTACCACACTCAATAAATATTATGTTTAATTATGATTATTGTTTAATTATGATGAACTAAACAGTAATAGGCTAAATCGGTCAAGGACTGATGTGCTTGACAGCCAAGCCCACTCGTATGACATAATAAAATATTATTCAGAGAATTAAATTGCAAGCTAAACTTCATGATGAATAATATGATGTATGACGAATATGCAATTAATATAATTAGATTATTTAAAATTAACAGTTAATATTGAGCTTAGTCTTCACCTGTAATTATGAAAAAAGAAAATTTTCATAAATATCGGAGAGTGCGGAAATAAATAGTAGATGAAAAGTTAAAATCAATAAGTAGAGCTGCAGTTTACGAAAACATACAAAAGTAATGATACCAAGTATTGTTATTATTTTCTGCAGGTAGCAGCTGGGCTGTGCCTACGGATAATGGATTTTGGGAGTAACAACTACTTTCCAACGGGCACTATGTCTACCTTCGTAGAAAGGAGATGCATGTGACTTGGAGACATATGGAAATGGTAGTGCAAGGTAGAGAGGGAAGAGGTTGACCGAAGAAGACATGGAGTGTGTGAATGATGATATTATGATATGAGAGAGAGAGAGAGGAGTGAGTGTTGGGATGACGGCTGATAGAAGATAATGAATAGAAAAATTCGCTGTGCTGACCCCACCTAGTGGGATAAGGTGGAGACAAAGAAGACTATCTGTCTACGATTGCAATAAAAATGTTACACCATGTTTATTACATACATTCTTCTACAAAGCAAGTTTTAAAATTATCCTCAGCAGGTAGCAATAGCGGAGCTGTCTTTGTCTGCCTTGAATCAATAAAAAATGAAGCTTTAGGTTTTGACTTATTATCTCAGAAAAGACAATATCAAGTAGAGGTCCTCTCAGGCGGATTAAATGGCATTGGTGTAAAATTTTCTGCCATAGTGCAATATGCACTCAGGACAATATGCATATTGCACTCAGGACAATATGCAAAGTTTCTTTGTTACGCCATCATCTATCATATGTATCAACTATCATATGTATATATGTATATATTTTATTATCATTTCATCTTATATCATATATTGACTTACATATTAACATATTATATATTAACTACTCAACTAATCATCACAATAATAATTTTTCATACACAGAAAGAAAACAGATGCAGGATTTCATTCACCAAAAAAACTAATCTGGAAGGATATATATTTTTGTACATTAATGTAAGTAATGTAATTAAATCAATATACAAAGTCATGAATTAACAACCAGTTAGATTATAAAATATTAATTCACAAAAATTATAATAGACTATTTTCACTTACCCCAGCAGCTGAGTATGCAGCAGATCCAAAAGCCACAACAATTGTTGAAGTTGTAAGGTAAAGGAACACAAATGCAACATCAGCTATCATTTCAATCCGTAACCATTTCCAATTGTGGTATTTTTCTACTATGTGAAATAGATAGCAGAAAAGGATGCCAACTGAATACCAGATACCAAATTGTGCTATAACATTGAAGTAGACTCCACGTCCATTTGACCAGAACGACGAAGCTTGAATGCAGATGAAGGCAATCAAACTGAATATCTGTCAACAAATCTTAAATCTATAGCTATATATATAAAAGTTAAAGGCTATATATAAATAAATCTATTAAGATATATAAATAAATAAGCCTCTAACTTTTTATTACCTTTATCAAGGAAGCATTTTGTGTGATGGTTGTTTTTACTCAAGTTTTGTTTTTACAACAACTTGGAAACTACCAGAAACCAAACTACATTCAGGCATAAGAACAAAGTCTGCATTGTATTGTACATCATCAATCCTACAAACGGGAATGCATGTGTTATGTTGAGAAAGGTAGAATAGGGACTTGAATTATGTTTTCATATATTGGTTCCTGTAAACAATTTCCACAGTCTTGCCCCTGTTCTCTGCTCATCCAGGCCTATAAACTATTTCAATTTATAATAAAGTAAAAGGCCAAGGCCTAAAATATTTGGCCTCAATTCTTTTTGGAATTGCTGCATATTCAAGATACTATTTTTTGATGTTGTAAAGAAATTTCCTGTGTCTAAATATATATGAACTTATTTATATAGTTTTGACAGATACAATTTTCTTATCATTCCTTCCTTTTATGTATCTTTGATGTTCAGATAAATAGATAAAAAGGCAATACAACATATAAATAGATTAGGTACTTACTATAATGATTATTTTTATGACTCCCGGTACCGTTTTAGCGTATGATGGATCAAATCTTACTTCAGTTACAAACATAGTGTTGGAAGAGCCCATGGACTGGGGTAGCCGAGGTTGATTAGGGTATGTCATACTTGCGCAGTCTTTATGCTGAAAATAAAGTTTATTGTAATTTATTTGATTTTTTGATGAACACGTAAAACGAAGTTTTTTTTAAATTATTGACCTTATTTTACAATCACTGTTATAAACCACATATAAAAAAGTCTGCATTATAAATAATAGAAAATAATGACTTACGTTCGTACGTTACGTCCATACAAAACGTTTGAACGCGATGCTTACACTAGCAACGCCTACGATGAGATAAGCTCTGATGTCCGAGGCTCGCTGCGCATCACTCCTTGACACCCAAGCACTAACCGATATTACAAACAATATACGGAACGTGTTTCGCACGTTAATGACTCATTTCAGCAGAGAACTCGTAGATTTTGAGTAGGTAGATACGGTACTTAAGTACTTAATAAGCATGTATCATTGTTTACATTCAACAAGCGTATCCACAGAACACTACCGTAGTCTTATGCCTACATAAACGTAGTGTTACATACTCTTTGTGCCTACATAACAACCGCTGTCGCGCCGTCGTTGTTCGAAAAGTAAAATATTCACATATTAAAATATGAGCGATAACAATTATTTGCTAATTGTGAAGCTAGTTACGATTTAAAACTTTTCCATAACTTTTCTAAAAAAGAATTCAAAATCGTGTTGTGAATTATTTCTACTTGTTTCAGTAGTAGTGTTTTATTTTTATCCAAATGGAAAGGCAAAGGTGTCGTACCATACAGCCTAATCTTTTATGCATATTTTTATTTTATGAAATATGATACTATGAAATGAAATGAAGTTGATTAATAATATGAAACATGACATGTATGAATTGAAATGAGATGAAATGATATAATATGGGATACTTTTATGCAAAATGATAATATGAAGTGAAATGAAATGAAGATGATTAATTTGAGACATCAATCAACTGGGATCAAATTAAATGAAATGAGATGAGATGATATGATATGGGATGAAATATAATCGCAGTAAAATGGTGGTCATTTACTGAGATTTTTTCAGTGGACTTTTTGGAGGATCCCGAGAAGTTACGTCCAGCGGCTTTGTTTCATTTTCCCACATTTGTGCACTGTCACAGATATTAAACAGTTAATAAACCACCGTTATTACACATTTACACCTGAAGAAACACTAAATAGACCAAATAAAACAAATCACACAACTTCACTCCTCGCGTTCCCGCCAAAAAGTCCTCAGTTCAAAATTTTTTTTTAAGGGATTTTATGACCTGGTAACTAAGACCTTTAAGTCATGTCTTATTTTAATTTATAATCTTATTTTTATGAAAAATGATATTATGGAGTGAAATGATATGAAGATGATTAATTTGAGACATTAATCAACTGGGATAAAACTAAATGAAATGAAATGGGATGAAATATAATCTCAGTAAAATGGTGGTCATTTACTAAGATTTTTACAGTGGACTTTTTGGAGGATCCCGAAAAGTTACGTCCAGTGGCTTTGTTTCATTTTCCCACATTTGTGCACTTTCACAGATATTAAACAGTTAATAAACCACCATTATTACACATTTAAACCTGAAGAAACACTAAATAGACAAAATAAAACAAATCACACAACTTCACTCCTCGCGTTCCCGCCAAAAAGTCCCCCTCAGTTCAAAACAAGTGTTCCATAGATTATACTATACGCGTTTAATCTATGAGTTCAACAGTCAGTCAACACTCTTTTGGACTTTTTGGCGGGAACGCGAGGAGTGAAGTAACTTCTCGGGTTCCTCCAAAAAGTCCACTGAAAAAATCTCAGTAAATGACCACCATTTTACTGCGATTATATTTCATCCCATATCATCTCATTTTATTAAATTTCATCCCAGTTGATTAATGTCTCAAATTAATCATCTTCATTTCATTTCATTCCATATTATCATTTTTCATAAAATTAAGAATATAAAATAAGACATGACTTAAAGGTCTTAGTTACCAGGTCATATAATCTCTATAAAAAAAAACCACTCTTTTTCATCTTTGTTTTTTGGCTCCGGCACGGTTTGTGCATTAGCCAGCGTCAAGTAATAAGATTTTTATAATTCGCCGTTTTAATTAATTATAGTTTATGAATAATAAAAAACGAAGGAAACTAATCGCAACATAACACAAACGTCTAAAAACGAATTAAATTCACAAATGAGATGTAATGTGACGAAATATAATCTCAGTAAAATGGTGGTTATTTACTAAAACTTTTTCAGTGGACTTTTTGGATGATCCCAAGAAGCTACGTCCAGTGGCTTTGTTTCATTTTCCCACAATTGTGCACTTTCACAGATTTTAATCAGTTAATAAACCACCATTATTACACATTTAAACCTGAAGAAACACTAAATAGACAAAATAAAACAAATCACACAACTTCACTTTCACGTTCCCGCCAAAAAAGTCGTTTCACCACTCTCAAATACCTATTGCATAGTGTGTATTATCTACGTTCACTACTGTCATAAATAAGAACTACCGGTAAAATGGGGCGATTAGGGATTGAAAGGCGAATCGGGAAAAAACCGGGAAAATCTTTCGACACTCATTAAAAGTTTTATATTCGTTGCAAAATCTTCCATTTCTTGTAGTTTAATAGTAGAATGTTGAAAGTTCACAAAACAACTCTGAATATGCATGATAATAGCTGCTAACTTATAAAAAATCGCGTTTCAAATTAACTTTCTGTGGTGGTAATTATTTTAGTGCTAGAAACTTTGCTCTCTTTTATTTATTTGATAATAATAGAAGACGACTATGATTTATAAACGTTATTTAGTGTTTGAACCAGCATATATATTAAAGGTAAGTCTCAGTTGTTATTGGTTTTAATGTATTTGATTAAATAAAAATACATGTAAAAATCTCTTGTTTTTGGGGATATTGGGGACGTCTTAGGTATAAATAACAACGAAAAAGGGGTCAATTGGGATGAGAATACGTGATATGGAAACGACCTAAGTATAAATAGGTACAGGTTTGTAGGGTTGTCTATGTAGTTATAACAATATTTTTTAAGTTTGTTGGTAAAAATTTGGTTTATTCGAAGCGAAATTGGGAATAAGTCTTTAGTTGAAATAGATAAGCCATTTAATATAAGTAAGTCGATTTTGCAGAGACATGTAACAAGATCAATGAAATCTCAAGGTGGACAAAAATGTCTAGGTAATACATAATAAAATATTTAATATTTGTTCAGAGTGGGGGTATTCATCTGATTAATCCATGGAATAACCGACACACCTAATCTCTTAACCCAGATAGAAATATCAGTACCTAAGTACTTACCAAGTACGGAGAAATATAAACCGTTTCTAAGAAAGCCCACTATCCATTGCGACAACTGCTTAGTCTTTCCTTTAAAAAAAAAAAAGAAAAAAAACTAGTGTCTCAGTTAAAAAAATATATATAAAAAAAAAAACAGGCAGTTGAGCACACAAATTTGTAGGGTGTGGTTGTACGGCCGATCTGACTCTCCCTCTGTAGGTTACCCTCCTGAATTCCGGCAGCCAACGGACGTGGGTTGACCCGCTGAAGCACCACGTCTGGACTCCTGGAGGTTTCCTGGGCTGGCTAGATCACCAGGGTACGGGTTACTGTGCGGAGATGACCTTTTCAGCACACGCAGTTATCGGGTGAAGCAATAAGCAAGAAGCGTGAAAAAACAGCTAGGCATGAACCCCTAAAAGCGGGGTCGAATCCGTTTATTTTAATCGTGTTAATATTAAACAGCACACGATATTGCTGTACTAAATATATTTTTTAAATAAATTATTTGTAGGTAAGTCGTCTAGGTTTGAAAACGAACTTTAACTGAACTCGAATACAAACGTAAGACTAATAAGGAAGTCTAGTGACGACTGCCGGCGGCTGCGCAGTGTCTGCGCCAGCCGAACCTACGTCTCGGGGGGAGGTGGGAACTATTGTTCTCACCTCAGCGGTACAGTCGATAAAATAACTGCTTTGAACATTAATACTTTTGTTTTAAGGTTTTTTTTTATCTTTTTATTTTGCAGACAATTTCAGTTGTAACATTACGTTACAATATGTATAAATAAATAAATATATATATATATATATTTTGTTGTTAATGCACTGTCGATTGCACCTATAATTGAGGTGATGTCTGCCATGTACTTTTGTCAGTTTTTAATTTTTTTTTATTGATGATCACTTTATTGGTGCAACTAAATAAATAAATAAATAAATTAAAACTATATATAAAAATAAAAGTAGTGCCAACCCTAGCAAATTTCTCATTTCGTCCCAATTAACCGCAATTTCGGGTAAATAGGGATTACACCTATTTTTGCATTTTTTGCTTAAACTGGAATGTTAGATGCATAATTTTAAATTAGACAACAAAGATGCCCCCAAGACTCAATCATTTTGATCCTGATATAGCATTATATACATCAACAACTACCTTAAAATTGGTCATAAAGTTGGAATTTGTCCCTAATCGCCCCATTTTACGGTATTGAGACTTTATTTTTATTTATTAGTTATGACCATAGATTATACACTTAATATATTCGAGTTATGACACATACGTTCAATCATACACATAATAGATAGGTACCTATTTGAGTCATTTGAGACATATTTGAGTCGTCTATTATCAAAGGCGGCAATCTGTACATTTGGACAAAAAAAAATTATTGATATGTCAATACAGATTTATTTGAATATAATCGTCTCCTTCAAAGAATACGGTTCAAAACCTGCATTAAATAAAGGTTAATAGTTAACCTGTTATTTATCTAAGATGTCGTTCCGAAGAGTTTTGTGACTGCCAATGGAATACANTATAATCGTCTCCTTCAAAGAATACGGTTCAAAACCTGCATTAAATAAAGGTTAATAGTTAACCTGTTATTTATCTAAGATGTCGTTCCGAAGAGTTTTGTGACTGCCAATGGAATACAAAGTCAATAATTCGTTTTTCTGATTTACCAATCATTGTCCAAAAGTCAGATTGCCGCCTTTGATAATAGTCGACTCATTTACCAGACCACAGTCTACATCACAGATTAATATATTATTTAAGTACTATGGTCTACTTAATATTTGTTCTTATGCCGGCCACTCTCATGCGCGCAAATATTCGTACATTGTACGAATGTTTGCGCGCATGTGAAGGGCCGTCAAACATTCATTCGCAAACCTAGCGGCTGTGCAAATGTGTTCGGTACTCAATTTGCGAACCCGTTTGCGCTTCCTCCTACACTTGTTTACGAATGTCTCACGAATTTCTCCTCCTTTTTAATTCGTCAATAGAACATTGAAGAGAAAAAGAGTTTTGAATTCTTTCCCAGACATCATTAACAGCCATGCTGTTTATAAGGGATTTCTTTTGATGAAGATACGCTACACAGTAGATGTCACGATCTATGAAAATAGCGAAACGTCCGTTGCCTTCGCAATCCTGGGCGCAAATGGTCACACGAATGTGTGAGAGACTACGCGAAGGATCGCGGTTCGCGCGCTTTGATGTCTGTTACAAAACCGACACAGCTTGGAAAACCACGAATGCAGCGAAAACTTTGCATAATCGTTTGCAAATGTCGTCCTACACTTGCGTGTTTGCGTATTTGTGCGAATGTGAGTGACCGGTATTGAGTAGGTATACATTTTGTTTACTACCTATAAGTATCTATATATCTTTTTACTGTGAGGTCATTTTATGTAAAATTTGACGTCTGTCAGTGTTATCTTCATAGTGAGGTGACCTACTTAAAAACATTGATTAAAATTAATGAATCGATACGAACTTGAATCATATGTGGATTATACAAATCATCTGGTGAACCCCTGTCCCATTATTATTTTTTCTTTCGTAAATCTATAGAGAAAAATAAGAGACGAGTAGATAATTTAACAAAAATATTGCATTTTTAGGTTGAACGATCAGAACTGTTATTAGTATTGTCATCTTTATCAATGCTGTCAGCACTCAGAGATATTATTAATTCATTTTCACGTCGTCGAGCTTATTGGGGCACAAATAAAGAGTCACACAGCGCGGAAAAATACTGAACCACCCTTCTACCAGTACTGAAGTATTGCTAAAATAATACCTCTGCTACAACCTGCGTGTGCAGAAGTCACTACAGAAGACTGGAGAAATGTCGTAGAAAAAACAAAGCAAAATTTAGTTTACAAGATTTTGAACGAGATGTGAGAATAGACAATATTGTTGAAAATACTGACGGCAGTGATGAAGATGACAATACTAGTAACAAATCTGATAGTTCAACCTAACAAATACAATATTTTGTTAAATTATGTGTTAGTCTTAAATTGTTTTATAAATTTACGACAGAAATAATAATAATGGGACAGGAATTATCGGTAGGCAGCGGCTTGGCTCTGCCCCTGGCATTGCTGAAGTCCATGGGCGACGGTAACCACTCACCATCAGGTGGGCCGTACGCTCGTTTGCCTACAAGGACAATAAAAAAATAAAAAAAACACCTGAAGATTTTGAAATTCACATGTTTCAAGTCCGTATCGATTCATTCACTTTAATCGATGTTTTTAAGCAGGTCACTTCACTATGAAGATAAAACTGACAGACGTCAAATGTTACCTATTTTAATTAAAAAAACTCAATATTAATAGGTAGTTTTGTTGTGGTAGTTAAATAGTTTATTAATGAAATTAAACTTATTTACAATCAAAATTTCTTGTGACACAATTGAGACGTAACAAAATAAAGCTCTTCTGAGGTATGAGTTTTTCAAATCTTTCTTGGTGATTATTTTGAACTTTCGTTTCCCAATAACTATTTTTGGTCGTGACAAATACTAAAAAAGGGCTGGACGGTAATTAGAACTTTATTGAATTTTAATATTAGCTTTCCGTTGGAATGAAATTAAGAAATATAATTTAAAAATATGAACAGTATTGTGAATGTGGCCAGTATGTAAGACCTACTTTTCCTGTAACTTTTATTGCTATTCAAAACTACGAAAAATAGTATTTCAACGAAATTAAATTTTAATATATTGTAGTCGACATTCAGACAAAGTACCAAGACACTAAAACAAATACACTGACAACATTATGAGAAAAATTAATACTATTTTGAAAGTTCCACCCCTTCACTATAGTTCAGCAAACGCCTTATATTGTTGCTTGTTGAAATATATTTGCTACAAGAAAAGCTGAATAGTATTTCTGTTATCTGAATATTTAAATCTTTGCCTCCATTATCACTAAATCATTTCAATAATAGGATTGAAAATTCTTTACATATCTAGTATTAGATTTGTATTTGAAAAATACACCTCATAAATTACATGTGTTTGTCATTATTGTATTTTTATTATTGGACCCTCAAAAAAGCTTATCGCCAACACACTGACACATTTGAGATTTGGTGGTAGAGAAAAATGATAAGGAATCATGAGACTGAATGAGTGACTAACGAATCTATTCTTACGGAACTCAAGTGTCTGATGAGGGTTTAGCATTCGCACGCAGAGGAGTTGCCCATTCTTTAGACACGTTGTCAGAAAGAGAGGTGACAACTCAGAAAAGCTGCTGATACCAGAAGATGCAGAAGACCCAAAAGCAAAGTCCAATGTGCTGGTGGGATCAGATACACTACTCTCAAAACTCTAGTCTATAATGCCAACAGTGCAGTCATGGATAGGTAGGGCTGGTGTAGAACAATCCAGAAGAAAGTTATTAAGGGTTTATTAAGCAATTAATTTCAGCATTAAGGATTATCAATACAAGGGAGGAGGAGGAGGAGGTCATTATTCTTCTACATATACATATTAAAGAAGAAGAAATTGTTATATTGTTATCAATCCTTGATAAGTGTGTGTACATTTTTATACTCAACCAGGTATATTGAAGATGGAAAAATGATTTTCAAATACATACCCTGATACATAGAAACAGCATTACATACTTGCCAACTTCATAAAAGGGCGTTAATAAAGGCGCAAAGATAAGCAATATTTAAAAAAAATCTAAGTACATATGTATTTATATTTACTGAAACCATGTTAATGGTTTCAAATTGTTTCCTTAATTGAAAACCCAATGAGAATATGTTTCATTATTTTTTATTATCAGAAGTATGCATTAACCACTATGACTCATTAGTTTTATCAATAAACCGAAATCACTCTGTTTATCATTATGTTAAGCTTTGTTTTCAATGAATATTACAGATAAATTGTATTCACATTGTAAGTTTAATGTGTTACACTTGTGTGATTGTATTTGATATCAAAATAAAATACATTATAAATTTAAACGCCTGTAAATTAAAAACAAGCCACCTAATTATACAAGCTTATCATTAAGTGGGACCTTAAATTAACTTCCAAATCAATTAATGAGCCCAATCACACATGGCCATTCTGGAGAAAAATAAATATTTAATAAGAACTGAATACAGTTTTTTTTGTGTGAGATTTGTAATAGAAACAAACAAATGGGCAGAACTGATTATAATTCAAATGCACATAAAAAGCACATGCTATTTGTGAGATTGTACAGGAAGCACACATACAATAAAAGAACAAATACACCATATCTACATCATACCTCTGAATACAAAATAGAGTTCACAAAGAGATTTCATTTCCATTGGGAGTTGTGGTCTGATACTTTGGTAGAGTCAGGGTTACTTAATCTATATACTAATACATGAAGCAAAAACTTTGTATCCCTTTTTACGAAAATTGCACGGACGGAGGAGTATGAAATTTTCCACACTTTTAGAGAATATAGAGAAGAAGTGCACAATGCTAATATTTTTTTTAAATAATGCATAAAAGATACATTAAATCAATAAAGAAAACATTACACACACTACATACCATGTATTTGACGCACACACGCATGCATACTATTTATTGTCAAACTTTTCTTGACGCTGTTGTCAAATTGAGATTAAATATTGTTTGTCTTTGTTAATATTTTTTATAGTGTAGTCTTGGCGAAATTTGTGATTATAGAAGTATAAAATACAATCATAATAGTCTACAAACTTAAAATTCCAATTAATTATAGTCGAATTTCGACTACTGCGGGACCTCTAGTACTAAACAAATAGGTGACCACAGCATATAAAATAATATCTACTTTCACAGGTGTAAAATGGCGGAAGTAGGATTCCCAGGTCAGCACACAACCACAACGACGGTCACTACCAATACCACTGTCCAGACCAACATAAGATTTGACATGTCATATCTTACAACACTGCCGGGAATTTTGAAGGCTGTTCAAGTTGTGAGTACACTAATAAACATATAATATACTTAGTCTGGCCATAAATACTGTTACAATTAAAAATAAACAAAATATTACATTTGAATTTGGAATCTGTCATTTTTAAATGATTGCTCATTGGGTTTTTTCATTTTGGCGCCAATACATTGTACAATATTTTACGATATTAAAATGGAGTGGGGTGATAAAGAGAACCGAAGCGCTGTGATTGCATTACACAAAGGAGGTATGGAGCGAAATGCAATTTTTAAAACTCTCCATACGCTTGGTATTAATAAAAGTTTGTGTACCGGGCTATTAATAGGTGCAATGAGACCTCCTCTGTTTGTGACAGAAAAAAATCTGACCGTCCACGTAGTGTTCGTACGAAAAAGGTGGTCAAAGCAATAAGGGAAAGAATTCGAAGAAATCGTGTCCGAAAGCAAAATATTTTATCTCGGGAGATGAAGAAAGCACTTAGTCTTATAGTCGGATTTTTATGACGAAGCCAGCTGACAGTAGCTAATGTCACTTTGTGAATTAATGTTACTATATTTAAAGTAATAGTGATGCGTTCAGTTCTCATTCAATCACATGAATGAACAATGAGTGTGAAGTGTTAATCATTAATTTCAAACTATAAAAGAATATTATTTATATTTTACAATAAAATTGTATTAAAGTGCTCCAATATATGTTACCAGTAGTATGTAACTACAACCAGTTTTTTTAAAATTTTCATTACCTACCTATAATTGTTATATTTTATACATCTATAGTTTCAACTATATGATGTATTGGAAATAGGACCGTCTTACAAGCTTCTTCGCAATGTTTTTCTTAATGTTTAAAACACTCGGTGTTCAGTACAGGTATAGATACTATAGGAACATAATATTTCGTCGAAAACTCGTTGGTATGTACAATCACGCCTAAAATTCGAACCCCGTACCCGATACCGGCAATTCGGCACACCTTTTTTTTTTTTTTTTTTCCTACCTATGCTGATAGCCCTAGGGGCTATTTCAGCGTAACCCTAACTAGGTGAGCTCACGGGGCTCAAACCTGATGACGTTGCTAACACGAACTCTAGCAAGAGCCGTGCTTCGCAGAATCTACCACCGGATCGGAAACGCGACCCACTGAGAAGATCCGGCGAGAAACTCAGTGGGCTGTGTCTGAGAGTTAATTTACTCGTCGAGCCCTTCGTCGCAAGCGACGGGTTCGACGAGAACGGTGACCGGTGCTTNGTGGGCTGTGTCTGAGAGTTAATTTACTCGTCGAGCCCTTCGTCGCAAGCGACGGGTTCGACGAGAACGGTGACCGGTGCTTGAAGTACCTAAAAGCACCGTTAGTGGATCGGGAGGATCCGAGATGACGTGTTTTGGGCGACGTCGACTGCTTTCCATTCTGTCCGCAGGATCGGGAATGAACGGCACACCAACTATTCACTAGACAATCGAGGCAATTTCATTAATTCAGGAGTTTTTTCAATCGTTCACTTTGTCACAACACTATTTTTATTTCATTAAAAGCTGACAACACAGTAAACGTCAGTTGACTTCGTCTAATAAAAAATCCGACTGTAGAACCATGTCGCGTATTTTAAAAGATGACTTAGGACTTGCAGCCTATAAGAGTCGTACTGGTCATTTCTTAACTGATAATTTAAAGGAGAATAGGGTGGTAAAATGGAAACAACTACTGAAGCGGTACGCAAAGGGAAGTCATAGAAAATTTTTGTTTACGGATGAGATTTTTTTATACAAGTGAGCAACATTTTAACAAACAAAATGACTGTATTTATGCTCAAAGCTCTAAGGAAGCTTCCCAATTAGTCGACAGAGTGCAACGTGGGCACTATCCGACTTCAGTGATGGTTTGATGGGGTATTAGTTATGAAGGAGTGACTGAGCCATACTTTTGTGAAAAAGGTATCAAAACATCGGCACAAGTGTATCAAGATACCATTCTTGAGAAGGTAGTGAAGCCCCTTAACAACACATGTTCAATAATCAAGAATGGTCCTTCCAGCGAGACTCGGCGCAAGGTCATAAAGCTCGGTCTACGCAGCCTTGGTTGGAAACGAACGGACTTCATCAGAGCTGAAGACTGGCCATCGTCTAGTCCCTATCTTAATCCGCTGGATTATGATTTATGGTCTGTTTTACAAAGTACGACTTGCTCTAAACGTCATGATAATTTGGAGTCCATAAAACAATCCGTACGATTAGAAGTGAAAAAATTTCCCATGGAAAGAGTGCGTGCTTCTATTGATAACTGGCCTCAACGTTTAAAGGACTGTATTGCAGCCAATGGAGACCACTTCGAATAAGCTTTTTATATTTTAAATTGTTTTATATTTATATATTAAAGTAACACACTGTAAAAGTAATAAATGTTAATTGCAATAGATTTTTTTTTAATTTTTAATTGCAACGGTATTTATGGCCAGACTAAGTATATATAGCTGGACAAATAACCTAATCGTCCTGAATTATTTCTTGAATTTAGTAAAACATTTCATAAGGAAAATTTAATGGTAATATAATGTTACATTAATGCTGGGGTTCTAGATAAACAAATTTTCCACTAAAGTACAAATAAAAAGATACAATAAAAATACTGTTCTAAACTTTTGTTTAATATAAATTTATGGTCACGGTTTTAGTAATGAGACTCTTCATATTCTTCCTTTAGTGTATCATGCCCTCATCATTCTAGAGGTAGCTTGTGCAATAGTACTGGCAGCTGAGACATTTCCAGTGAATGCCATAGCTGCAGCAGCCAGACTCCCTGCTGCCACCCCAACAGTCTTGAATCCAAGTAGAGTTAATAACCATAAACCTTTTCCAGTCCATAGAACGACTTTAGCTATCCCATTGACGAGACAAGCAGCACACGCATTACCCATGTCTGTGAAAATGTTCTTCAAACTAAAACAGTTATAATATGTAAATACAAGTTGATAAATCTTGATTAAATCAAATTTAGCTCTCTAGCAGAAAAAAAACAAATTTAAGAAAGTGAAGTTTTATAATTTTCATTAAATTATCAGTACCTACTATTAATGTCATGGGTTCCGTTTTTTGCCATATATTAGAAAACTATGAAATATGAAGAATAATATGAAAAACCTACCTTTTTCAACTTAATACAGTAGATATAGCGGTTGTGTTGTTTAGGTCTTGTGGGACAATTCCTGGAATATTTCTTAAAATATATACATTCACTATTGTATTAAATAAATTCCATTCGCATTTGACTGTGACTCTGCGATCGGGTTGGATGTATAGTACCTACACTACCGACCTAGGTGCACATAAGGCAAGGTATAGTCTGGTAGTCTCGTATAGACTTAGCGTATCGAACGGGACTAACACTAGTGATGTGCATTACTTCTTAAAAGTGCACATTACCTAACTTGAAACTTTTTCATGAATCACTTTTATACACTGTATTACTATACTGACTTAAATAGGTAGACGGGTTCATGGCTCACTTGGTGTTAAGCTGTTACTAACTAGTAAAAAGCCTGAATACAAATTTCGAAATCTCAATTGCAATAGTAGTCATCCATCGTGTGATGCATCTATGCTGGTCTTCAAATCACGCAAGCAGATATCTAATTTTTCTAAAAACAAATCATTAATTTGTGTAATAACTGGTGATAGGGTGTAGTGTCAGTCCGCACCGGTAGATACCACCACCGTGCCTTTGTTGGTTGCGAAGCACTTACGCATACCGGTTTGAACATGAATAAGAGGCTACAATACATGTCTTAAGGCATTCACGGTGTGACCATATGATCTCCACTTACAGGTGAGCCATGAGCTTGTTCACTCATAATGCAATAAGTAAAAATAATGATTATCCCACACTTACTATAATACGATAACTAAACTATAACATGATATTAAAGGCTGTGGACTCAACAGAAACTACCGTTAGTTAAAACTTATTAACTTATTAAAGTTTACGTTCTTTATTCATTTGTTTGATTTTTAAATTGCTTCGTGTACATGCTTAATTCTTAAGTCTTATATACCAAATTATGTCAAACAAACTTTATTCTTCTTCAGGAACCAAAATTGTAGTAAATAATAATTATAAAAATTAAATATGGCAATATGAAATAAAACCACACGCCGTACCAGAGAAGCTCTTGTTTTGAAGTGAAGGCTTAAAAAATATTAATAGTTATTTAAATTATATATTAAGTATTAAAAACGACGTAAAATAAGCAAACCCTATGAAATTTAAAACACATTTAATTAAATTACAAATTCCTTAAAACTCAGATTTTTACATCAAGATCTGTCGTACTTTCCCATCTCTAAAAGATCAAGTTAAATACCGACCATAGACATTTTTTGTATGATTCGTCCAACAGACAGGCAAAAGGAATGTAGCCAATACTATCTAATCTTTTGTATGGCTTTTGGCAGAGGCATCTATTGCATAAATAATAAATGGAACTGAATAAAATAATTTAATAGTGGATAAATGAAAAAGACTTAACTAATTAATATTTTTTATGAATTTCATTTTGATATAAGTTGTTATACCTTCATCTGATTACGCATTTTATTAGAGAAAATGGTTCCTGTGCTCCTATAACCAGGATTTGGGCGTCATCTTAGTCGTATCGTGGCCATGGTGGTCATCATATACCAAGCATCTTATCTTATCCTTAAAGTTTCCTTTTTTTTTTATGGCCGGGGCTGAACCTTCCGCATCGTTCAGTCCCACCTTTTTTTTTTTTTTTTTTTTTTTTTTTTTTTTTTTTTTTTTTTTTTTTTTTTTTTTTTTTTTTTTTTTTTTTTTTTTTTTTTTTTTTT